TTTATTCGAAACTCTCGCTTAAACACTATCTTTTTTAACTTTATAATATTAGCAATATTATGATCTGATGGCTTTCTATGTTACAGAGAACAACGGGAAATTTAATAATTGAAGGTAAAGGTGACAATAATTCATTACTGTCGGGAATTGGAGAGGAAATATTGAGGGTCCTGACATAATACTGATTTAAACTCAAGTGTCTATATTTTGCAATTATTGATTCCTACCATACATATTAATTACATACATTTGGCAGTGAGAAGAACACTTGGGGACTGTATCCATTATACATAAAATACAGTCATATAGCAGCTATATACGTATAGCATATACTCTGCAAACCCATTAAATATTTTCAGAAAGAATCTACCTAAACTTTAAGTGTAATCTAGATCATACAGTTTGTTAAATATTTAAGAGATATACATACATATGTATACATGTATTATATATACATGCATAAATATATATACACATGTACATGTCTATATGTGTGAAACGAAGTTTCGAAAGAAATAACAAGAGGGAAGGGTAGCTTATTGTTAAGAATTGAAACCACTGGCGTAAAAGTAGATTAATGTTTCTAAATAAAATCCATGACATTGATGTGATAAGAGAAAATAATAATCAATTTACGTAATAAAAAAAATGGTTCATTTTTAGTTTTACATTCATTCATTCATTATTATATAACTATACATATACTGATATATTCCAAAAACTTTTAAAATATATAAATTATCAATGCAAAAGGTTTCCGGATGGATATTTACAGATTTTACAAACTTGCATTAATATATACATATAAATATATAATAATGGAATATATAAAATTTGCAGATAAAATTTAACTATTTAGAATTTAGAAGCAATTCTCTGGACAGTTCCAAAATAAACATCGCAATAGAAACAGTCGATCTAACTTTTATGTTCAGTGCCTTCAATTTTTGTGTCCAATTGGAATGATAATATTATGTCGCTATATATAAATATTGTTGATATCTTTATTATTTTGTAAAATATATAAAATATTATATCTCCATTGTGCGATACTATTTCGCCCAATCTTTGTAAAAAAAAGTTACATAACGGACATAGGTGATGAGCATTGTATTTTGCATGCAACGCTTCCATAATCGATAATTAATTAATAAGACACCAAACTGTGTAAATTTAAAAAAAATTAAACATCGTAAATCATTTACATATAGGTACGTGAAAACTACGTATATATAGTTATATGAAAGAATACTCTTTTGTTTTTTTTCCAAGGCACTTTAATTGTGTATTAAATTTTATATCCCTATTTCTTTTTTTTGAATATCGTCTCCTGTATTATTTATTAAGATATAAAGATTTTTATATATTTGAGTATGAATTTTATATTTTAGCTATTAAACGTGTGCCAAAAATTAAAGGTTTCGATTTTCGATGCGTAAATAATCCTTTAATTCCTAAAGTAATGACATGCAAATCTGCAATAGATATGACTGATATGCATCGACTGTCAAACATCTGATTCCAATTAAAAATTCAATAATTTCCCTCTGTAGATCTAAAGCAAATGATATGTATCATGTAAATATCGAACAAAATATTTTTAGTTTTGTAATAAGCTTTATATTTTACACGAGGTATAGATATGCCCGTATTCTGTTATTTTAGAAAAATAATCGAAATCTTTTCTTTAGTAGTAATCTAAGTACACAATTCACATGGAATGAATATGCATGACATACATTTTATTATAAATTATTATGTTATAAACAGCGCGTTTAAGAAAAAATTATTTTATTCATCACATATGTATATCCTTCCTTTTTACACTTGTAAGTGTGAATAACTACTACGATAATATTTCGTTAACAGAGTTATAAATTAATTTGTAAAAAAGGGTATTACTCGGAAACATACTAGCATAGATATCGAATTCAACTAAATTCAGTAAAGATACTTATATATATATATATATATATATATATATATATATATATATATATATATATATATATATAATTTGTTCTAACGAACGTGCAATAGAAAAAATAGATTATAAGATTTTTATATCAAGCATTTTATAAAATATCCTTATATAAATTCTTGTTATTTCTGCAATAGCATCGAATTGCTATTTATTCTCACATACAAAAGAGATCTATTAGATCATATATATATATATATATATATATATATATATATATATATATATATATATATACTAGATCGAAGATTAAATCTAGAGATACGTGTTTCGAAATACATTCAGCATCCCAATGAGTGATTGTGCGATTCTTAATTTATGCGACGTGCGCATAAATATGTATTTAATACTTTTGCGCAATGCTCGTCTGGAAGGTGAACCGCGAAGACTAAGGACGAGTATGATTCAATCAAATTCATCGACCTTATGATGCTCCTACATGAGAGATTCACGGTCGTGTCATCATCGCATACGTCTTTCAGCGAAGAGTCATCATCATTTTTTAAACAAATACATTTCCATTCCATCGATGATAAAAGAGCGAATCTTGCTTCCTCAGAAACATATTCCTTTGTTAACTAAAATGAAAAGGTAATTAATATTAATTTCATTTTAATACATTTGCATAAATATTTCGCAGAATGTTAATTCTGTTTTAATTCCTATTTTCAGAAATCAAGACAACGAATGTGTATTAAGAGGTCGCTGCTTAATTATGCACAGTCTCTATAATGATATCTACTTTCTATGAAAGACATGGAGAAGGAATGTGGCCATTCAAATCAGTACTTTTCCACGCATAAAGGTATATTAATTATACATAAAACTCTATTTAATAGTTTCATTTTTGTTTGCTTTTTCCGTACAATAATTATTTATATATATATCACAAATATATGATGGAATTTTTTTCGTCATATATTTCGGAATGTTTGCATAGCAGATATTGCAAGATGAAATATAACAGATATCAATTTTCAAATAAAGATTATCTTTTCGGCGAACAAATTCTTTTTGGATTAGTTTGTCAATGAAAATATATGAATGATACGAAAAGAATTTGCGCGCGCGTATTGCTTTTGTTCTTTTTTTTACAAATATGCTTGCGCAATCAAAAAAAAAAAAAAAAGAAAAAATAAAAGGAAAAGAATAGAAGGAAAAAGTTAAAAATGTCTATTATTGCAGTCTAGTCACGTTTCGATCAGTAGTCAGACGCGCATGCATGTTTTTCAAAATTTCTTGATTGCTATCTTGATTTTAAATATCAGGCTGTCAAAGTGACATATGTTGTAATTTATCGTAGATCTCGATCTAAAATCTTTTATTATATCTATAAATGATTTTATTAAAAAAAAAGAATAAAAAAAAGAAAATTTTTTTGAAAAACTAACGGTGTAATATTACACTTATTTGTATATAATTTGTGTGCGCGACTTATATAAAATTCAAAATTAATTGCATAAAACTTATAAAAAAATTAATCGATATCTTTTTGTCATCGATTAAACGATGTCAGCATTGAAAAAAAAGTTTGTTGAATTAACAAATATTTAGTTCAATACGTTCAAATAAATCATTTATTTGAACGTACTGAACTAAATATTTGTTAATTTAACAAACTTTTTTTTTCAGTGAGTATTCAAAAAAAAAAGAAAATTGCGATTATCAATATCTAGAAACGGAAATCAATGTCATTTTTATACAATTTATTGTGATTGCACAGAAAAAGAAATTACTTTTTACAATGAATAATATTCACTGTTAAAATATTTTTACTTTACAATATTACGCATCTCAACTTTGATTATTAATTTTTTTACTTATCGTATATTCAGCTGTTTTTATATAAGACATCTCACTCTTATCTTACTTGCAAATTACTTAGAAATATATACAGTAAAAATAATATCGTGTAAAGAATTAAAAGAGACATGATTGTGGATGCTAGATAATAAATATGCAATTTTTATCACAAATGTCCTATATGTTAATCGTGAGACAAATCTCAAAATATTATATAACTTGGATAACATTTAAAAGGAAATACCAATTAAACTAATTAGTTATTCATTTACAAAACACGTACGATGCATACATTTGCAAAAGTTATAAATTGTTGAAATAACTTATAACTTTTCATTGCAATATTTGTATTATAAATATCTTGATGAAAGTTCAGATGTTTTAATTGAAAAAAAAAATATATGGCATAATCCTCAATATCTTGAAATATTCTAAAATAATCTTTATGTCATAAAAATATTTTTCAAGTCCTTGAGATATTACAGTTTAAAAATAAGCGAAAAAATTAATAATAATTACACATTTAATAATTATACATTTATACAATATTTAATATTGTATCATTCGTCGTTAAAGTATCTTTGCACTTTTATATTTATAGTCATTTTTCAAGGAAGTAACTCGATTCTTCGATTCTTCGAATGAATAAAAATTTATAAACATCTTTTTGCATCTATTTAAATATATTTAAATCTATTTAAATATATTTATATATTTAATAAATTCGCATTATATTATACTCCAATATAGCTTTTTTCTATCTGTCATTCTCTATAACTTCCCTCTGGTCTCTTAAAATTTTAACGAGTTAATTAAATTAATCAAATTAATTAATCATGTTCCAAAACGAATTATCCTCATACTTATTTCGTCCTTGCTCCTAATACTCGTGAGTGCATTACGCGTTCATTTCTCGTATAAGGATTTTATCTCGTAAATAAACGCGAGCAAAGTATTTTCATAACACAATGGACCGAGTCCGGTGACTTGAACGCTTGATTCGCGATAGTGACCGTCACGCGAGAAATGTTAATCATCACGTGAAGACCAGGGTGTATTTACTACGTCAAGGTGTTCATGTGCTTCGTCTAAGCTCGTGGCTTCGTATCCATCAATCAACCGGTCGGCTGAATGACCGCGGTTTCTCTCTCACCGAGATGGTTAACGCATAAAGAAAACGATACCGCGAGCGCGAGTTGTATGTACACACATGTGTTCTCTCGTCGCGCGATGCTATATAAATAATACTTCGCGCTAAGTCAGATCAGTCGACTTGCGGCGGCCGTACCTGTCACAATAATGCAACGCACCTTTAGAGATTAAAATTCTCCCCGAGTTTAAATTCGATTTTTTCTGTGCGTTCTTTTAAATATTATCCGCTCTCTCTTCCAGTTCCCAGTCGAGCTCTTCCCGCCTCTGTCTAATTCCTTATTTCACCTGGTGAATCTTCACATCCCTGTCATATGCCAGAGGATCCTTCGGCGAGAACTTCAACTATTTATATATTGTGATCCATTCCTCAGGATGTCGCATGACAATCTAGGATTTACATCGAGCACGGTGAGTGAAATATTTTTATAATGCGACATACGTGTCAATCCATGTTAGAAATGAGTTTTTTTTTTTCTAACGTAAAAAGTGCAAGTATTTGATACAGAAAGAGAGAGAAAGCGAAGAAGAAAAAGTAAATACTATTTAAATTTTAATTATTTTTTTATCTGACTTTAATGATTTGCGTCACATTCGTCTTTATTGAATTTGTGTTGTCACGTCAGTTGTTACCCTCGAAATCATTTTGCGTAAATATATGTAAAATATCTTTTCAGTATATAAATGTAAACATGTTTTTTTTTCTTTTTTTTCGAATGAAGAAGCAGTGACAGACAGAAAAGTGACGAACTTTTAACATGAAAAGAATTTGACGCAAATGCTGAAAATATAAATTTTGACGAAAATATCTATAGCTTTTAAAGAAAGAAAGCTATTTTTATATCATAGAAAGATGAAGAAAAGGATTTTTTTCTCTCTTTATTGATAATAATAAAAATTAAATTTTCCAAAATAAGACGCGTTTATGTCAAGCCTACTTTGTTATGTCAAATATCTGAAGATCATAGAGTATTCCTACACATTTTCTTTTGCAAGAAATAAGTATGTATAACAGAAAGATAATTTAAAATTTTTGAAATTATTTTTCTGTAATATAAATTTTAGAAATTCTCTAAAAAATCTTAATATGCTCTTTTATAGAATATAAAAAAGATTTGACAAAATGATTCTTAAAACAGTAAGCCTAATAATGCACATGTGTAGTATCAGATGTATATAAAATAGACTTATATAAAGCGCGTTTACTGCTTTGTTTACGTCGAGCCTTTAAAGAACACTGTATACTTATATTTTTTTATGATAAGAAACGTGTAATGTATTCAAAAAATTCGGAATTTTTAACAGAAACTATTTTAAGATCATTTCAATAAATTAATTTTTCTTGTAGAAGAGAAAATAAAATTCTTTAGCGATTCTCTTGAGACAGCAATATATACCAATAATGCATATGTGACGTATATAGAGCAAACTTATATAAGAAAAATTGTACTTTTCAGATTATTTTTAAGTATCATTTTTTTTTGTCTTTTTGTAAAAATTAATATTATCTAGTTTGATATAATTTGGAAACATTTGGCGTATTTGCTTATTTCGTAATGAATATATATTCTCTAAAGTGTGGAGTTATTTAGGCATGCATAAAATGCACATAAGATAAGATAATGCAACACATGTAAGGTATCCCAAAAAATATATACTTAAAAGCGTGTTTCAGTACTAGAATATTTTTTGCATTTTTGCTTGACGAATTTCATTATAACAGTAAAATATGTAACAAAAAGAATATTGGGTTTCGAAAATCTCAATCTTTGCACAATCGTGAAAAGATCTTCGTCATTGATTTATTCGCATTTTTTTGATTGCGAAATTTTAATATAAAATTATTAAAACAATAACACTACGTAAGAAATACCCGAGTTACACGATATAACGGAATATTTTGCATACCTAATATGACACAGTCGCGATAAAAAATAATCACCTTTAAATTCATTCGTCCGTGGAATGTATCTGTCGGAATCTTTTTTTATAGCAATGAACGATTGTACAGGACAGGATAATAATAAACCTAGGTAGCTGTTGCGTACTTGATATTTTCGTCAGCTTCGATGATTGCGTGATGTTTCGATCATGAGCCCGGTCATGAGAGTGGAAAGTTTATTCTCAATATATATTTCTTATATATATATATATATATATATATATATATATATATAGTTTTTTTTTTTACGTGTAAAACTTTCGAAGGACAATCGTTCATTCGCTCGAGGTTTTTATTATTTCTTTTAACGTCGTTGACGCCGCCGGTGTTTTTTGCTCGATTTATGCGAATAATAATTGGCGTTTAAAGCTGTTGCACAATGAGGAAATGCCAATAAGTATAGCGAGCCAAACTAGTCAGTCTACTGAGTCCAACAACTCGCTCTTACGCGAAATGTCCTTCCTTAACGCGACTCTTATACCACTGCTCGCCTTTTCTCTCTCTTTCTCGTTTTTTTTTTTTTCATCGTCGAAGGCAACCAAGATACGTACAATATTTGTCCTTTAGACACGATTATTCGAAAGTAATTTGAATTATTGAAGTGCGCTTTGCGCCTTTCCCCTTGTCCATACACAATACAGACTTATTAGCGACCTTGGATGCGCGTTCAAGTCGATTTTTTCAAGTATTTTTCAAGGCAGATCTAATTACGAAAAAATGATTAATATCGCGGACGCGTGTCGAGGAATTTCGACAAATTGAATTAATTTTATTCCAAGGAAAATTCACTTAAGGTTTCGCAAGTTTAGACTTGATACTTGACATTAAATCGCGTCGAAATGAAATAAAAATATCACCTGTGATGCGTTACAATTGTATAAATGTTGAATCTTTATTTTAAGTTACATCATAATTTTTGTTGTTGAAGTTACATCATAATTTTGTTGTTGATCTCTTTTTTATTCTGACGGACGGAAACGCTGCACCCATCGTATCTCGATTGAATATCGAATGTGTCGCAATAGTTTCCTCTGTCATCTCTTCATTTGCCTATCTTCGCTTAAAAAGGGGATCATCTGATTTAATTCTTTTGTTAACTGACGCGATGAAGTTTGTATAACGTTTAATTACATTTTAATGTCTCTCTTTCTCATGGTACTATTGAATTCCTTCGTAACATATATAGGATATATCCTGAATCCTGAATACATGATTAATTTCTTTATTTGCTTCGAAGCGTAACCGTATACGTAATGCAAAATTATTTTCTCTCTTTCTCTCTTTTTAGTAATAAAATTATTTAACATTAATGATTATATTCAATCAAATAATTACGATTTATAATGGCTTGGTATATCAGTATTCTGTAGGAAGCGCTCCTGCTGATAACAAAATTTCGCACCGATTATTTCTGCTATAATGCTATGTCGAAAGTGTTTCGCGCAGTGATAAGAACGGTTTTAACGAACGTATTTGCCACAAACAAGAGACACATCGCAAAGACAGCATGAAAAGGCACCAAAGTCGTTTTAAAGAAGTCTAAAGGACGATAAGAGAGACACGTCTTTCAGATACATTTACATTATCTGGGAAACATTACGAGAGATGAATCCTTTCTCTTCGTACAAATCCGCTTTTACGTACACGATTCTCTCTAACTATATATTGTGTAGCACGGTGTAATGCACATATGTAATTATAATGAATATGTAACACAGACACACGTACACATTAACAGACCGCGGAAAATAAAAAGATCCCACATACACTGATTGAGTTGTAACCTGAAATTCTCTGGACACAGAGAATACCGGTTTATCTCGATTAAGATACTGCTTGTGTAATAATGTGTGTGGTATGCGCACGTAACGAATCTCTTTATCCAACTACTGATTACTATATCACTATATGAAATATAAATCTATATACAATATATATACAATATATATATATACATATACTGGTATAAAGTATCCTAAAAAGATATATAGGTATATCTGTCCGTATATAAATATAAACGTTATATTTCGATAATATATATTACAGGTATTACTGTCAACAATTATCTATGTTATGAATTAAATTAAATCAAATAATTCTTGCTCGCGATAATTAACATCGAAGATAGAGAATTAAAATTCGCGATTTTTTTATCCAATAAATTTTTCTATTAGCTCTTTCAATATTTTGCAATTATAAAATTTAATGAGATAGGCGAAAAACCTGCAAGTTCACAATAGTATGCATATATAAATATGTAACTGGTACAATTTATATTCTAAAAAAAATTAAAATTACGTATTACGTATGTATGTAATTACCCTTGTGCATCAAATAGAAATTAAAAATCGATGCATGCCGGTAAGAGACGCATTTGCGTAACATGTCTTCTTCACGGTTCTTCTGTTTTCTAGCACACAAGGCGTCGCACATGTGCATTTCATCATATATGCCCGCGGAAAGCGGAAATGCACACACATACGGTCGACGCATAATGTCAAGACCGTCTCGCGCGCGGAACGAAATAAAAAGAATGCGTGCGCGAAGAATGCATCGGTGCAGTCGGAGCACGCACGTTTGTCGCGGAACCTCTTGCAAAGGATCCTGCGGTATTCTTTGATATTCCCTCTTTTAATGCGATTCGATACCTGCGCGAAATGCTCGCGCGTTTATGCTTCCGTATTTTTTCATCTTAGGGTGACTAATTCTTGAATTAAATCAATTTTAAGGATATCGATCTTGAAAATTGGAACATAATAAGATATAAAATTCCGCGACGGCTCTTCGAATTGCTAATTCTTCGTAATAGGAATATCGAAACAATGTCGATATTCCAAGAGAAACGACAAAATCGCGAATAAAACTGTTTCATGCTAACGAGGCATTTTAATGAATTGCATTAGAACATAAGCACGTGATGATAATCGTCTCGAACGAATTGTTTAATTTGTACAACGTAATCAAGTATAGTCTTACACGATATAATTTATTGAAAGTGCAATTTATTGAAATTTCACGTCGATGCTTGGAATTTCAGGAAATGACACGCGACTTCCAATAATTATTTATAGTTTATAAATTAAATCAATTGGATCAGATTAAGTAATATTCTTGCTTGATGATTTACATCGAAGATTGAGAATTGAAATTCGAGATTTGTTTATCTAACGAATTTTTTTCCATTGATCTCTCAGTCTTTTTGCAATTATTAATTAATTTAATAAAATAGGAAAATTGTAAGCACAATAAAGTATGTATATATAAATGTATAATTTTTATGATAGGTATGTATACAATTTAAAATGTAATTTAAAATATTATATAATATATTCTCTCTCTCTCTCTCTCTCTCATTTCGTGTATATAAAAAATTGATTCTTTACATACACAATATGCAATATAACAAAATACTTGAGATATTTTGAAAATTTCATAAATATGAATAAAAGATTAATAACATAAATTAGAATGTGCCTAAAATAGTTCTGTGATAACTAAGCAAGAATGATGGATATACTATAGTGTTTGAAAAAAACCTTTATATATATATCCTTGATCGAACAATGACTTGAGATTGCGTCAAGAATCTGATAAATAAAAACTTAAGATTTATTGACTCGAAAAATAGTTATTAAACGATTAAAGAAACACTTGAGTGAAAACTTTTTAATGTGAAAGGATTTGCTTTCTTGAATCATTGATGGAATATAATTTTTATAATGTGTAGGGAGATATTTAATTAGATAAAAAATATTATCAGCAATTCTTTATGCAATAATAAAGATTGTTAATATTTAAAATTAATTATATTATATTAATTATATGCTTTAAAATAATTAATGCATCTATTTAATTCTTTTATTGCAAACATTATCTTTAAATTAATGTAATTTAGTCCGAATATTAGCAGAAAACAAAATTAAAATTAAAAGAGAAAATCGTAAGAAATTCAGAATTCTATTAAAACATTGAAAAAATTTGTGAAAAAAGATAAAGTTATTTTAAGTATTTTTATTTGAACATATAATACAATTGAGTTATCTTGTTTTTAAAGATTTATAACAGCTAAAGATAGTTTATGTGTAAAAGACATTTTCGTAACAAAGAGTATGTATTTTAACGGATCTTCCTAATCTTTTTTTATTCTACATATCGGAAAATTGTTATTTTTAAATATTACAGAATATTACGAATAAAAGATACTCCAGATGTGGACAGAAGTGGCAAAAGAACCTTTCGAATTTGCTTTACATTAATTGTGACATGTTATCGCTCAATCTTTTTTATCTTTATTCATGTTATCAATGCAAAGTCTTATTATCAATTAATAGCGATCGCTAATATTTATTATTCTTATTTGTGTCACTTTGACCTCCTTCAGCAAAAAGCTCGTTTTATCGGTATATTATTCGAATTTCTTGAATTCCTAAAATCCGATAAGCGTATAAATCAATCTTGCGATTATATTCAGTACTTATAAACGTTTAAAACGCAGTTGCATTAAGTAAAACTCGGTAACATAATACAATAAAAAATTATTGTCAAGTGTATGTTGCACAACTTAGCTTGTCGCGAGTCAAACAATTAGCATACTTATTGTTAGTAAAGTGTGCATTTATCATGTAGGATTCTTCCTGAACTCTGTAATATTCCATTCATTTTCCTCCATGTTTCCTAATCTCATCTCGCACCTGTTTGATAGGTATATCAGAAAAATCAATTAATAACCAATTTTTAGATATTAAAAGTTCATAATTGTTTTATAATAATTATATTGATTTGCTGTATCTATGGTTGACTAATCTTAGATATACTTTAAATATTAATTGTTTTTTAATTACATGAGTTAGTTCGAAATATCGAATTAATTGTACTTTATACGTTCGGTAAAAATGATTTAACAATTATTTACACGTGTATTACCTTGAGAAGCTCTATGATAATAAGCTTTTAGTTGTAAATTTCCATTCGGTCGCACAATTAGTCGATAGATCGACGAACTTACTCGACGGAAAAAATTCCATTTCAATAGTTACTTATCAGCGCGCAAAATATAGGTGCTCTTGAGTGGAAAATATAAGCATGTACAATACACACGTATACATATCTCCCCACGTGAAGAAAATCATCAACTTGGAATTATACTAGATTTCTAAGTGGTATAATACGAAAGCTGTAAAAATCCGTAGTTCTCATGGTATCACAAATAAGGCTCTAACAAATATGTTGACAGAAGAAATTCCGCTCACCGGGCCAGATATAGGCAGAAGAGTCGTCTGGCTCATTTGTGTGTCTGCTCAACAATATTTACGGTATATTCCGCGTTTCGTAAATTGATGCTTATACAAACAAACCCATAATCCATCGTTAATCGAGCGTGGGACGCCTTCGTATGCGATGTGACAATTGTACAACAAATATACGCGAGACCAGAGAAAAACGTGATAAAAAGAAAGGCATTCAATGTATGTAATCTTATTTAAATGCTTTATTTAAATAAGTTAAATGACTTAACTACCGTTAATTGACACGTAATACAATAAACGCGTATTTCGATCTTCTTATATACGAGACGGCGAGACAAGGAAAACACTTGATGTGTCAACGATTGAGCGTTCACTAAAAGAGTTATGTCTGTCTCACAATCAGCAATTAGTGGCATAAACATACATTAGGCGACAGTTATATTTTAACAGCTCGGTATAATTAATTATATTATTAATTCTTCGATACATATAAATTGCACATTAAATTTAAATAATTTTACTGTTTAAAAGCAGAACAAAACGTACGAATTTAGGGAAATACTGTACACAAAATATATAATATATATAATTTAATATATAAAATTGAAATATATAATTTATATCGATGTACATTATTGTATTTGTATATTGTTATATATACGAGATATATTATTCTTATAATATTCTTTTAATAAAATTAGGTATATGGATTATATAAGATTCTATCATATACGCATAAAAAGGCGAACTATTATCAGATATGGTATGTCAAAGTATTGACATACCATAGTACAGTGGAAACTTACGTCTTGTCATACCTTTTATGTCAATACTTTGACATACCATAGTACAGTGGAAACTTACGTCTCTTGTTATACCTTTTATATCTTTACACTAGATCTAGTCTTCTGTTTGATTATTAAATAAAATCTAAACTATCCGAAGGAATCTTCCATCCTTTTCGTCCTCGGGGTAAAGTCGTTAACGCATCTCATTACTTTTGTGGGCGTAGACTTTTCGCTCTGAAGGACGTATTAAACGACTGTATCCGCGCATTATGCAATTTGTGGATTTTGCACAGTATTTGAGGCGAGAAAATTTCCTGTACTTGTTGCATTTCAAATCTTAAATTGCACGTAAAGAAGTCGTATCAATCACTTGAGAGGAATTATGTAAATGTCGGCCGGCAATTTACGCAATTTACGTTTCAAGATCGCAAAAAGATAGATATCTCTCGAGTCGTAAATTTATCCTGGTTAGATCAAGAATTGGCCAAGAAAATTTATTGGCGGTCGAATTCACAGATGTAAGATGTACATATATTTACGCAACTGAATTCACGAAAACTCATGTATTTGCAGTTAGTTCTATAAGATGAAATGTATATTATACCGAAATGGAAATAGCCGATCGTCGAAGAGGAAAATTTATCGAGACAGAAATAGAGAGTGTGTGTGTCTGTGTAACAATCATGTACTAATATTAGATATTGCGCGTGCGCACATATTGTACCGATTGAATTGTACGAACGGAAAAAGCCTGATGAAGACTTCCTATTAAAATTAATGCCTATATAGCTGCGGGCGCGGAATATTACAAGAGAAGTCGAACGTATGAGAGGAAACAGTAGATAAGCAATTAATCAAATAAAATATATGCAACAATGTATATAATGTACCTATATCTTTAGTTTATTAATTATTTGCATTTCTAGTATTTATGCTCATAAAGAGTTTGTGAACTTCTCGAGTTTGCACGCGCAATTTACGAGCTCATCGTTCAAGAATTATGCGTTGAGCTCGAATGAGTAATTTGCGAATTATTTCGAGCTCGATGCATATCATAACAGTCAATTAACATATAATAACAGTCATCAGAAAAATGCGTTTTAAAAATCGTGATATTCTATCTAATTATTCTTGCATAAGTGAATGACTCAATTATAGGGTCTGTATATTCGAACATCTTTATATGTATATTATGCATATACTTTGCATTATGTATTAGATAACAAGACCACATAAAGTGTGCATGAGTGTCTCTTCTGTAAATTATATATAAATATTTTCATAAATTTACAATTTTTTAATAAATAGGAAAATGATAATTTTTTATTATTTCATAAATAATGCATAGATCCATTCAATAAATCATCAATAAATAATCAATAAATCATCAATAAATAATCAATAAAAAAATGCATAATATTTTTTAAATATTAAGAGAGAAAAACAGAGAGATCTACATGATCTGTACGCAAAATTAAAATGTTATATGCTAATATTCTTCTCAAATTATCGATACATGTATGTATATGTATATTTATTTCTTTATTTGTTTTTTCTTCTTTACAGGTTGCTTTGCAAGATTTCAAGAAATCTTTCTCATCCAAGGGACAAAATGGGTAAGTATCAAGTTTCATCAATATATTCTAATAAAGCATAGAGTTCTTATTAGTCAAATATGTACTATCCAAGATTTTGCTTTTAAAATTTTAATAAGCAATCTTGATACTGTAATCTAAGATTAGTATAAAGAGATATTGTCACACTTATATTATGTATGATACTCGATTATTATATTATATCTCGAAAATGAAACACGTGTCTACTTAATTTGATTTATAAGGATAATATTTTTACAGTTACGGATCGGGTGAAAAACGTGACAGCGTTTACTCTTTGGAACTCGAAGAAAAGAAATGTGTAGACGAGCAAGATAACGATTATGATCCATATGAGTATAGAGTAGTGGAGCATCCGACTACGTAAGTTTTTATATTAATATTCATTTTCACTTTATCACAATGAGAATAAATAATATATGACGGATTTAAAAAATGATAGATTCGGCGCGTATGTAGTTATAATTATATGAATATGTAAACTTATTATTAATATTTAAAGATTTACTTGCAAAAAACAATATACATAATTTATAATGTACTAATATTCTTTTTTCATTTTTTTCACGCTCTAATATATTCGTAAAATTAAATATAAATAAATGTAGAAAAATTGAGATAGCAGAAAATATTATCAAGGAAGCTGTCAAATCGATCAATATTCCTGCTATTGAACTCGTTATAAAAAGAATAATTAAAATTAAATTAATAGAAAAAAAAAAGAACAAAAGATCAATTATTCTTTCTAACAGGGAAAATAACTATTCGGACCTAACAATAATAGATAACTATTTGAGAGAAATTACTATCATATACATGATAATTTCTAGGCTACAAAAAGTAAATTTACATTGAAATAATTGAAAATAGAATATTTTTCCGATTATCAACTTGATGTATTTCTTATTATCATTTATCATTTCGATAAATCCGATATTAAAGATGCTTATTCCACGTCTTGTGTTTATCAAATCATTAATGATTTGATGATTAAATTTAATCATTGATAAAAATTGATTGTTTAGAATTAAGGGACGCAATCGCGACATGTCGAAATTGTCCAGTTAGTACTTATTAAGAAGCATTCAATTTGGTTGAAGACTTGAATGAAAAATGATACAACGTGTCATTCAAGATGACCAATGATGCTTACGTAATGCGCCGGTACTTTCTTTGCATGCGAAATGACGTTTGATTATTATTACCCACACGTTTCATGCTAAGCACCTTATTAACGTAATTTCCTATGTACAATAATCAAATCGAAAAACTCGGTGACTCATATCGGTCATGAATCGGTCTTCCTGGTGAAAACGCGGATTTCCTCTGTCATAATTAATGTATAAATTATTACATAGCTGGTACAGATACAAGGCAACAACGTTGAAATTAATTAATTAATTAATTAATTAATTAATTTCCACATATTCAAAGATATATGCGTACTCAATATCTATTTTACCAACATTACTTTATCTGTAATCATAGCGTAAAATCATGAAATTGCAAAGATTATTTCCGATGCTTCCTGCTATAAAAGTCTATCGTAATTTAATTTTATAATTCTGATATATAATTATTTCACAGAATTTATTTGCAATTTTATTCAATATAAAAATATTAAAATAAAATATAATAATAAAAAAATTGAATTTAAACAATTAAGAAAGAATAATAATAAGAAACAAAAAATGTTTATTATTTAATGCAAATTAATAATGTGAAATAAATATCTGGTTTTTTTTTGGAACGCAAATTTTCAGGAACGCGGAGACGTTGCTTCATTTGTTGAAAGGCAGTTTAGGCACCGGAATTCTCGCGATGCCGAAAGCTTTCTACAATGCCGGATACATTATCGGTCTGATAGCCACGGTCGTCATAGGACTACTTTGTACATACTGTATGCGAATACTCGTACTTTCGGAGTACGAATTATGCAAGAGACGAAGGACTCCGTCTATGACATATCCAGCAACCGCGGAAGCTGCTCTGCAGGAAGGGCCAGCGTTCCTCAGGCCGTTTTCCAAAGCCTCAATGTAAGTGTATTATGTCTTCTATCTTAATTATCTTATCTTATAATTAAATCTTATCTTAGACATCTTCTATATTTCGCGAAGAAAAAATGCAGAGAGAAAAGAATCAAATGTATAATTTATACCTCTTGTACATATTTCGCCTGCACCGTTTCTAAAGACATAAAAGACAACCGAACAATAGCAGAGTAAATTGCCGTTATTATGCGATTTGCATTCATCGTATAACGCATAATACTTTTTATTAAAATATAATTAGAATCCAATTAATAAATGACAGCTCTTACATCATAACTGCGTATGCGCTGATAAAAGATGATTATTCCTCGGTTTTTGCAGACACATAATAAACACCTTCCTGATGATATACCAGATGGGCACTTGTTGCGTCTACATCGTTTTCATATCCAGCAATCTACAATCGGTGAGTGTCCCCCACTATATATGCAACTTGCAATACGTAATGCGTTACGCTTTCCACGAACGTCACCGCATTCAATGTTTAGATATTTATCATTGACAATAAGAGTAATTGCTCGTTCGTGCATGTTACTGATCTGCATGGACGTCCGCAGAAGGGACAAGAGGAGGCATTTGCTCCCCCTGGAATCAGTAAAAAAATCAAGCATTTGCTCTCCCTGTAAATAAACACTAGAGTTTATTTGCAATTTTTTTAAATAATAAAAAATTGAATTTAAAAAGTAAGAAAGAATAATAAGAAACAAAGAAATGTTTAATCATGCTCCTCCCTGAAAAAAATCCTACGGACGCCCATGCTCTGCCATATCTATGCGATGTGAATCCGAGTCAGATAGTAACGTCAAAGTCCATTAAGTGGAACACGATCTTTCCACTTGTCGCTTACAAACTGCAAATTCGCGATATGCTCGCTATTGCGACATATGTTTTACGAGGAAAAGATCTAACGATGAATGATTCAAATCAATAAATTGGCACGTTATCTTCAATAAAACAAAGTCGAGTTTTAATCAAAAAAAGTTATCAATTTGATCGACAAATAATTTTATTGCAATAATATCGAGTTATAGATTTATAGCCACGATTTTTCGTCGTTTAATCTCGCACGTATCGATTCCATTTCATTTTGCACCGCCGTTTCGCACATCACACAGCCGATAAATCGTTTGTGGTTTTCCCCAAGCGCCAACTAGCAAGTACGATATCGCGTATTCTTAAACAGCGTGCAAACGCGTAGGCAGGTATAAGAAAAGGGAAAAATCTAGGTCAGGGAAAAATGCGCCGCAGGAATACGCGAGTAGACTCGGTCGCATTGTAATTAATGTGCGTGCGGTTGATTCAAGGTGATTGTACCTAACGTATGTGTGTATACAGACGGTCGGCCGTCGACATTTTCAACGACATATGCCAATCCGGGATCCGAAGGAAAATGTGATCCCTTCTCGCGCGAATTTACCCGAATTTTGCAAGGCTAATTCTGTTTACAAACTTAATCTCTATCAATCAGATGAAGAGGGAAAAAAAGATGGATAGGTGTGGCCAAATATAAATTTGAATAAATTATGCCATTGACGTACTTAACATTTTTTTCAATTTTCACACAAGAATATAAAATATTAAAATTCTAGTAGAATTTTAAATTTTGTGTAATTAATCATTCTTGCGAATTTGTTTTGTATATAATATAAATTATTTTCTGATAAAAATATACGCTTACTATGCATCGATATGTTTATTGCATGTGCAACAAGAGGCGACTCGAGTAAATGCACGGAGAAAATTTTCTCTTCTAAAATTATGGTAAACGTGAGACGATATTGGAAAAATTTTATAAGAGTTTCTTTGATTAATATTTATCATAATAAAAAATATTATATGTATTTACATACATAGTAAATTTTATTAGCAAAATTCATCGAAAATATTTTATATCTTATTGTGGTAGATATTAATATTTTTTAACTCTTATAAAATTCGTCCCACGATTACCATGATTTTCAGGATAAAAATTCTAATTGTAAGACAAAATTTTTTCTGTGTGTAAACCATAAACTGATAGAGAGATAAAGTTACAAGAGAGACGATACTGTCCGTATATAATGTTTTTATAATTATATAAAGGCGGAAAAATATGTTTTTTTTTATTCGAGCATACATATATTGTTTACCGTGCGTTTCGAAATAACACCGGTATTAAATGATAAGAGAGTCGCGTCGCGTCGCGCGGATTATAGAAATTACAAATTGACATATTTATATCAATTTTATTTGTTCCACATTCTTATATCCCACGGATCGTCGTGCGAAGTTGCACACGCGTGCGGAATGATTTATTATATAGAATTTCACATTATCTCGCCGGGGTCGCACGGGATTTAGTTGTAAACGTGTGCGCAAAGCGAGCGGAAATCTTATCACGAATATGGGATCAAATGGGAACCGTCTGGGTAAAAGTCGGGCAAACGTCAACTCAAATACCGTACAATATATTTAATAACGTAGAATTTCTTTTTTTTTTAATTTTGATTTATTTTAAGAAATAAATTTTTTTAACGAGTCGGGTAATGTCAAACAAGTATCTTCAAATAATTCGATTGATTTAAAATGCATAGAAACGAATGATAAAATTGCCATTTTATTGCACGCAAAGTATAATCTACGTTAAAAGGAAACACGCTTGCTGCGCGGAATGCAAATGCACTGTAACATGTATCTGCACATACAATACAATCTTGCAATCGGATAATAGGCTTTAAACTTTATGTAGACAACACCTTAACCGTTAGCTTTCAAAGTCGTTGCGTAGTACGCAATGTAATAGATATATAATTATCTATCGTTACGACATATACGCGTTATTACGGTAAGTAAATAGAGTGTGCATATGGTGTAGATGCAACGAGTGCGTTCACGTAAATCGTGACCTATGTAGATACGAACGAGCGTTTCGACTTCAGGGTTAAATGCGAAGTGAACGGAGCCGAGACATATAAAGTTGATTAATCATTCATCGTTATCGCATAAAAATATCAAAATATCGTTAAACACCCCCCTTTAAATCATCGAATAAATTATATATCATGTGCGTATCGGATACTTTCGAACATAACAAATTATTTACAAAAAATGGAGAAAGCTTGAAAATATATAAAAGAAAAAATAATGTTCAAGTATAAGTTACATGTAATATTTTTCGTGATTTGAATATGACGTTTTATCCAAAGTTGTAAATAATTAAAATATGAAATTGAAGATGAAAAAAATAGATTATCGATGCATAAGTCAAATTCCTTACTTGCGAAGAATTCCGAAAGGATGACGCTATAAGGTCTCTAAGGACTCTTTGCAAGAATCCAAATCGATGAAACTAAAATAGGAAGTCCTAAGAGAAGTCAATTAGTTTAATTATTTCTCGTATGCTCGCAGTTATATCGTAAACATACTGATGAATTATTTCTATCCGGAAGTTTCTGATGGCGGGTTATTCACTCCAATGCACTAGGCAATTTTATACTCCTTACGCAATATTCCAGTGACAGATTTACTAGTAAATTAGGAGTCTTCAAGCATAATTTAAGGTTCCAATTGTTAAAAGATTTTAATTTAAACGCCAAATACACATACATGAGACATAGATAATTTTTAAAAAAGTTTTTACTATTTCTTCATTATATTTTCTTAAGATCCTTGAAGAACTTTGAAGAAGTTTTAAATCTACTGTTGCAATCTGTTTAATAATTGTCGAAGAAATAATTTATTTTATTTTTTCCTGAAATTTTTTATCTTAGGTATTATTATACTAATTATACACAATACTAGCCTTGTGGAATATATAATATACGTATGCATAAGTATAGAAGCAATGATCATTAATGTTATCGGATCGCAACGCTAATTGTAGTATCTTGATAAGCTGCAATATGTTAGTCATTTAGTCATTTGTGATAAACAAGTAAATATAGAAAATAACTATTCATACATATTCTTTTTCAACTTCCGTTGTATCATCATATCTACAAAAGTTTCTTTTTATTTTTTTATAAATTATTTTATTATTTATTTGATCGATTTATATTGTTTTTAAATTACGATTACGGGGAAACAAAAATACTGTTTCCATATCTCTATTTGTAGATGCACAGTGAAGATTAATTTCCATTGGAAATCACAAAGTGCTATCAACTGATAAACTAAAGTCAATCAACTGATATATAGTATTCAATTAATTGATTATGTATGATTGATTATCATGAATTATCATGATAAATTCACGTATCATAATCAATCACTATGTAAGTAAAATTTACGAACGAAAAGTGGCGTTATCATATCTTCGCGATCGTTGAAATAAGACCAGAATCGAAGAGAACATTCTCTAAATAAGGGTCTTCAAGATGATTCAGATTCGATGAATTACACTAGAGAAAAAAATATTTTTTTATAATTTTCTTTTTTTTACCAAATATACATATATGTCAATTACTAATTCTTTTGTAAAAGAAGGAAAGAGAAAAAGATCTCTATTCATAAAAGGTATATATACATACCTTTTAATTGAATAATAATTAATAAGTATATGTAATTAAAGATAATCAATCTGCGCGCAAATATTTCTTTACATTATAAGTATAATTAAAAAAAAATGCAGATCGATTTTCAAGGGTGCATTTAATTGATAGCACGTTGTCGGTGGCGCGTCATTGTGTCCGTCTTACATAAGACTAGATCCGACAGCAATAAACGACAGGCGTTAAACGACAGTAACGCGCCCATTTCCGGCTGCCCTTGGGATTGATATATAGTAATGACAGTATGTGACAAGTATTAAGTGTACGATGAAGCAAAGTTGTAAATATATCACTGTTATTCGCGCGAGTGCTATTTACTTCAACTGAATTAAGTATTTGCAAATTGGTGTTAATTACAAACACTCTCAGAACGTAAACTTAGGTATCTTATAATATATATATATATTTTTTTTAGGAATCGCGATCTTAAATTCTTTAAGTCACGACAAATAAAAAATGTTAAATGAACATATATCTTCACAATAACCGTGACATTGTGGCACAAAAAGTTAGTTAACAAACGATTTTAATCGTATATGATGTCATTTATTTTTGTTTATGGTGATTCCTAATATCTACTTTCTTTTTTTTAAAATATGCAAGTAACGTTTTTTGGAGATCTTATATTATCGTTGTATAAATTAGCAATCTGAGATGCAATGACGCCGCACGCACTGTGAAATCTTTTTACTCATGTTCACGTTTATTTGGAATTATTCAAGAATTGGTAATATATATTCGTTGAGAATTAATTTTATTCAAAACCTTCAAAAACTTCTTTCGCCTCGTTTATTAACGAATGTATCGTTTAATAATTTTACTTTATTCATGAAGAACTTGGTGTCGTTTCATATTTTATATTGAATGATATGTAACATGGATTATATTGCAATTTACATATCTTTCTTTCTTTCTCGAATCTTTTCCATATTTTATTTATATATTTGTAATATTTATTTAAGACACATTCGAGTTTTCCTTTTTCAAGACATAACATATTTTACAACTGTAAGATAATAAAGTTAGCTTGTCGGAATGACACGCTAAATGACGGGAATTTTTGAATGTATCTTTCATAGACTTTATGTCAATAAAAAAAAATATAAATTTAATTTTCAACGAAAATCATTCCGAATGAATGAGAAGATGGGCGAAAAAATAATGTCATCCGCGCGTCGTTTTCAGATGCTACGTGAAATCGAAACACGTAAGTGTCGTAAACGGAGATGAACTTTTTGCGTAAAGTTACGGCCAAAAGTTCTCTATCGAGGACACGCATAGCGAAGGTGATGATAGAACAAGATCTTAACAAGAAAATGGACGGTATGTATGTATGTATGCGTTTCGAGAAATCTCTAGTACACGTGACCTAATTGCGAATTCAATGTCAAACGTAAATACAGAGGTAGAAGTGCTGATTACGTTCCTCTCCACACATGATTGTCAATGTGATTAGTCATATTAACGGAATTCCGTAGCGCTGTTATTCTTTACATAAGAATTTATTAGAGTATATTAGATATTACGTCTTTTTGTTTTTTGTCCTTTTTTTGTTCCTACAATATTCTTAGATATGACTCGCGTTATATTAATGTCGAAGTACCATTTATAATGCGCAATAAATTGCGTAACAGTATCATGCGTTTAATTGATTTCTCATTAGGATACAAAACTGAGAGATAAACTTTAGCTAACTTGTTTGCTAGCGTCTGTATTCGAACACGGTGCATAAAAAGCTTGCGTCATTTTTCATCCTAAATTTAAGCTTTACCCGAAAGTGTTCAAAGGTACGAAATTGTATCTATAAATAAATATGATTTATTTATTATATATAAATTAATTTATTATATTAAAATTATTTATTATACAACATTAATACTTTGAAATGTCAATCTTACTATTTAAAGATATGACTATTTACAGATATAATTCCTTCGTTAGATGTATTAAAATAAAATCTGTAATGATTTAACGAAATACTCTTTTGAGCAAAATGATCGTATTAAATAAAAAAAAAAAAAAAAATCAAGTACATGTTAAGTTGGAAGCGTATTCGAGTCATATCTCAATTTCGCCGAATAATTACGATCTCTTTTTTTTCTTCTAGGGATTGAGCTCGTTTGTTACAATGGAATTGGAGATATATATGGCGATTGTACTGGTACCTCTAATCCTCGTTAATTACATCAGGAATCTCAAATTCCTGGCACCGTGCTCGACAATCGCGAACATCATTATGTTCACCGGATTCGCGATCATACTTTACTACATTTTCCGAGAGCCGTTGACATTCGAGAATCGCGTGACAGTTGGAGAGGTCAAGAACTTTCCGCTCTTTTTCGGCACCGTCCTGTTCGCTCTTGAATCCATCGGCGTAGTAAGTATAATCTCTCTATTGAAACACAAATAATATTTATTAACATTATTTGATTAATTATTTAATGTAAGAAATAATACAGCTTTGTAATATTTTTGTAACAATTTGGGAATTGAAAAAAAGCTTAGTTAATTACTTATTGTATATCTTTGAAATATTTACCTTCAATAAAATGTTGCAATATTGAAATTACTTTAAAAACAGGTTTACCTGGAAAAAATTGCATATATTAAATTCTAATTGATTTGCTATCTGTTCATAGATTATGCCGCTGGAAAACGAGATGAAAACCCCGAGATCTTTCATGAAGCCGTGCGGCGTGCTCAATATCGCTATGGGTATCATAGTCGTGATGTACACCGCCTTGGGATTCTTCGGATACATACGTTTCGGTAGTAAAATCACTGGTAGTATCACACTTAATTTACCCACCCAGGAGGACCTGGGAATTGCGGTGCAAATCCTTCTCGCCATCGCTATCTTCTTCACGCATCCTATCCAGTGTTACGTCGCTATCGATATCTCATGGAACGAGTACATCAGTCCCTTCCTCGAGAAGTATCGTTACAAGCTGGTTTGGGAGTACGTGGTCAGGACTGTCATCATTTTGATTACCTGTGAGTATCTTTGACTCCTTTTTATTAAAATTGAATTGAATTCGTGGACGGTAACGAAAACGTCCTAAATGCAACTGGATCATTAGTTTGTCTTTTATCCGAATTCCTGATTGATTTTGACATTTCTATCTTATAGAAAAAAATATATAGTATATGAAGCTATAATTTATAATGAATCTATTTTTTAATTTAAATATTGCAAACAGGAATATTAAATCTTGTTAATAATCAAATATCCAATTCTCGTTCAAGCTAGAGTACTATTTCTCTCATTTCTTCAGTTTGATAATCTCGTTTAATAAATTCTTTTATTATTTTTTTTTATTCTTTTGTTATCCCATTATATCTGTGATATGGTTGAGGGAAGCAAAAATCGGATAAAGCGATATTGCTGAAATAAATTGAACTTGTCGATCTGCGCGCTTTAGTCGGTCTAGCAATCGCGATCCCGGAGTTGGATCTCTTCATATCCCTATTCGGTGCGTTCTGTCTGTCGGGCCTGGGACTGGCGTTTCCGGCGCTCATACAGATCTGCGCGTTCTGGAAGGTGATGGGACCCACGGAGAAGAAGATCATGCTGGCGAAGAACATTTGTCTGATACTGATCGGTGTATTAGGTCTGGTCGTGGGCACCTACACGAGTTTACGTGACATCATCGCCAAGTTCTCGTGAGCTGCCAGCGAACTCAATAAACGGTGCAATAAAATTGCCGAGAACGGAAGCGGGGAAAGGGTAGCGAGAGGTAGAAGAACAGTCGAGCAGGAAGGTGTTCTCGTATGCGAGAGAAACGACGATGTGATATACAAGTAGTTTGAAGTCGCTAGACTAAGCGTATCTATAAATAGTGGCGCATTTAGAGGCTTCTGCCGAGAGGGACCGAAATAACGTTAACGTGTTACGTATTACGGCTCCAACCGTAACTTCGGTTCTTCCATCGGAGGACGGGATGAAGTTCCTGAGTGCATCTGTGCCGGTTCTGCACGTTTCAATGAATTACGCAAGTACTGCGCGAGTAGGACTTAGAACAACGAGAAGACAAACGATCGAATCCTCGAAATGTTAGATGTCAGTATTAGATATCAGCGCGAGATGTGTAAAGAGGTTTTATTGTATTATAAATTATAAATAAAAGTAATTCTATTTTCACATACTCTCTCTACTCCCTCGTGCTCCGTCATATCTTTCCCTCCTCCGTCCCGCAAGTTTTTATTCTATATATTTTTCTTCAAAATTGTTGATAGACAATTTCTGAATTTAATCATGGCGATTGTTTTACTTAATTAATGTATAGTTATAAAATTGTACATATATATATATACATATATACACTCTCGATCGCTGTTTTTGTTGAGTTTTAAGATGATAGAAAAAATAGTGTTTATGTAGTGTATATATATGATATACATTTACCATGCGACGAAACCTTATGTAATAAAAAAAAAAAATAATCGATATTTCAGTGATATAAGTCATTGTCTAAAAACAAACTCATCTTTATTTTACGTAGATTCGTTTCCAGACGGTCAATATTAGTTATGTACAGATGAATATCATATTATTTTATGCTTGAAACACATGCGGCGAAATGTATTCTTTTTCTTGAGCCAGCAAAATATTTACGAATTGTTACGATCAATTTTATGCTACACGTCACGGATAATTATATGGAGGATTCTTTCCATGAATCATTTTTATTATTATTTATTCATGTGTTTAGGAGTAGACAGCATAGTTATTTTCGATGAAATATTAAATCTCGCTCTTTTACCTTATTTCGCTTGTGACATAGTAATGACACAATCATAATTATAGAAATGAAAAAGAATCGATGGAAGAATCTTTATATGAAAACTAAAAGAAATATTTAAAAATTTTGTAAAATATTAACTATATTTATTTTTAACAAAATTAAATATTTTACTCACGAAAATAGAATTTATTGTCAGGATAAGAGAAAAAAGTGTGCTTTAATTTTTTTGAAAATCTTGTAACACCTTTAGACTTTGCTATCTATTATAAGACGGAAAAGAATTTCATTACGTTTTATCATTGATTTTCTCTCTTTTTTAAAACGATTAAATCACTTTATCTTTGTAGATGTATTACGCAATTTTACCATCGATACGACCCACTTTGACCGGTCAGTAGAACCAGGCAAACACTCTCTATGCGCAAGTCAGACAAAATGTTTATCCTACCCGCTACCAGATGTCCCTGGAAATTATTATCGTATAGATCGCGAAGAGGGTAGCTACCCCTGCGTGACCCGAAGGGAGTCCATCCCTAATTTTCACAGACAGTGAAAAGCATCGCCGCAGCCGCGCATAGCACAATTTTCTCGTTGCACACATGCACACACAAGCATAACACTTAGCCGAATGCGCGGTCAGAAGGTTGATGGGGGTTCTGTACACCCATACATGTACACACACGAGTACATTTTTCATCCCTCAGTCGTAGCTTATCATATACCTATGTTATAACCTGTGATAAAGTGCCTCGAAAACGGATTTCGCTCATACGTCATAAGCTCGAATGTAAGTTGCATATGAGATTGCAGTTCGATTATTGGTGCACATATCGTGTCGAAAAATATATCTGGCACATGTTTAGATTACCGGTTGATCGCGATTAATGGTATAATAATAATGCTACTTACTATCGAAATCAATTTGGATCACGAGTTATAATATTTTTTTGTATAATATCTATTCGTAACATAATTTTTTTTTTACGAAGAAGCAATCTTAAAATTGAAATACATTGCAATACATTCACACGCAATTTTTCTCATATGAGCTTTTAAAATAATGGTACACTTCCTTATTTTGAGAACAAAGAGATTTGTGAAAGTATGTTAGATGTAATATGCAGCTGTGAAGCAGTGAAGAGAGAAAGTGCTCTTTATGTCAAAATTATATGCTCTAAAGGATTGTTATTAATTTCATTACATTTATTTAGTATCAATTTAGTATAGTGTTGATCATGTCAATTGTTTACCAAAGTCACTGAAAATTATTGTATCAAGAGAAATAAATTGTATATGCATTCAATCTTCACTTATATCACTTACATCACTTTTGTACATTTTATTTAAATTTTATTATCACTTTTTAAATCATTATAATAGATAAATAGAATTGGATGTCATAGATCTTACAGAAAAAATTGAATTTTATTATACACGAGGAAAAAGGCCAGTGATTAAATAAAAGGTTGTTTGATCTCCAGATCGTATCGATCGAAACGTCATGGGAAAATGTGTCGACAGCGACACATCTGACTTACGTAATTCGCGTGATGGTCTGACATCGATCTACCTGTAATCGCGAATCTTAAGAGTTCTAACATAAGTTTTACACGAAATTTATTTTCAATTTTAAGTCATTGTTAAATCGAATCTTATTGTTAGTAACAGTAGACAACTTTTTTAATCGATGCATTTTTTAAATTTGGAGAGTCTCTAATAATAAAAAAAAAAATATATATATATATATATATATATATATATATATATATATATTACGAAAGATTAGAATTTAAATTTTGTCAAACAAAAGATAAACCTCTTACATTGAAAGTTTGGTGAAAAATAAATTCCCATTTATTCATCTCTGTCTTTTATGAAGTGTCAGAGATTTGATGTGCAATATGAGATATTGAGCTCTATAAATAATTTGTTAATCTCTTCTCTTGCTTGGAAAAATATAAATCAAATATCTAAAAAATAAATAATAATAAATAATATCACAAATGTCCAAAAAATAATGATACCAAAAAGCATTTTAATTAAATCGATACGCGCATGCAATACTCGCGTAAATTGGATTTTCTCATGTTTCTTTTTTGACATGTATTTTATTGAATATTTTATTGATTACGCTTCACACCTCTGATCTGTCAGCGCTGCAATCGATCAGTGACAATCTTTAATTTTAGCGGTTAAATTCTTCCCCGTCGTTTGACGCGTAGCATACGTTATATAAATATCTTTGGAAGTCGGAAATTCTGCTTCTTGCGTCGCGGAACGTTTAACGCGAAGAATCTCCTCGTAAAGATAAATGTTGGCACCTTCATGGAAATATGAATTTAAGCGTAAAGAAATTAACTAGTCGCCTTTGTTTTATGCGAATGATATAACTGAAGCCGTTAAGAATTGATTTTATCTCGGTTAGCGTAACAACAATAATAGAAATAAGAAATTAATAAACTTTACAACCATCTGTCTATACATGTAAAACACTTTGCAGGATGTGATATACATATTTAACCAAGAACAATTGTTATATAAATTTTTCCAAATGTACTAATTTCAACATTTCTATGATAATTACAGATATAAAAAAAAAAATAGGAAGGTTAATAATTGCATATAATTTTCAATTAGATTCGTAGTGTTATAGAGAGTATGAATATTTCCTCATCAATCACTATTATCGTGCTTTAATGCACCACGTGCACTGATCGCATAAATCTTCGCATTTCACACGTTGCATGTCACCAACACACAAAGATATATTGTCATGCGCACATAGATTAATTACTTATTACTTTATTCACATTTTTTTCTTATTAGACACACTTGATATTATTTTTTAAATTAAAGATTTTACTCCAGAAAGAGAGTATTAATATGTTATCATATATTATGTTATGTAAGAGTATTATATTTATAGAGTTTGTTTGTTAAATTAAGAATATGTTTGTTCTAAATTTTAAGTAATTTCCTGAAGAGCAATTTCTGCGAATCGCCAAAAGAGCCATTGAAGCCGTTTAAGACTTCGCTATAACACTCGTTAAAATCGCACCAAATTAATCGACGATTATCGGCGATCGCCCTCGTTCTTTTTGGAATACCTTCGCGCGGATCCACGAAGAAGCAGAAGCTCGCAATGCGGGGGATCGACTCGCGATATCTATAAATCAGCGCTCGCGTGCATTTACGAGATGCCGTTTTATAACTAGCCGTCTGTCACGTGACAAGTTGCTATATGTTGCTATATGCCGAATACGTACAGTGGAAATTGAAGTGGTGCGGGACAGTCGCTAGACATCCTCGGTCGCTGACGCATTAACTGCCAACTACTGGGCAGTTGCCACCTCTGAAAGAGAGAGAGAGAGAGAGACAGAGAGAGAAAACCGGCTTTACATCCGCCGAGGGTTGCGTTTACGCATGCATTTAATCCGGTAAGTCGAATTCCAACGCGCGCGCGTCAAAAAAGGCCAAAAAATTTTCGTCCAAAACGAAGGGTAAAAACTGAACCTTTTTCACAGTTAATAAGTAATTTTAAGAATTTTACACCACTTGTCATTTTTTTTGCCATTTTTTTTTCATGTGAAAGCTAACGTTTCTTCACAACATTGAAATGTCATCGTAATGTGGGTCAGTTTTTTTCAACCCTAATCGTCTACTCGTTGATCATAACTATTTCAAGTACCACATCAACGATCCCTATTATCATTGACAATGCACCTAACGATTGGCTATTATGTCACCAATGATGACAGATTCTCCTTTAGCGGCGTTCAAACGCTCGCAAAAAGCCATTATCCATTAAGCTAGTTAATTCTAGACTTTTTTTTGTATATAATTGCTAATTCTAACATAATTACATCTAACATGAAATTCTTACATAATTACAAAATTAATGTTACTTATTAAATCTTATTGTGATAAATTATAGAATTTTGGAAAAATTATTGCGAAAACGTTTGACTATTATTATTTTTGTAAAATATCTCATAGCTGTATTAATAATGCTAAAAGCAAGAATTAATTTATAAACGTTTGGTATATACTTGACGTATTCTATTTATATTGATATTAACACAGGTTTCGATGTTTGCGTAGGACATTTAATCATGCACATTTAATCATGTCATCCGATGCAATGTATTGCATGTATTAATTTCCTCCTATATCAATATATGTGAAATATTTTTGTGAAATATTTTGAATATGAAAATTGTACGAAACAATAAGCCATGAAAATATTTACATTTAAAAACATTAAAAATTTGTGAAAGAAATGGCAGATATTTATTCTCTTAGCAATTTATAGGTCTAATAAAATTGATAAAATCTGGTAAAATCTCTTCGTAAAAAATTATTGTGCAAAGAGAAATAAAAAAAATTTCGATTTATAAAATTTACCTATTTAATTCACATAATTTATTAAAATTACGGTGCACTATTTCATTTGGAAACGCCACGGTGAATTAATTGTATAATTAAATCACATTTAGGACATTTGCCAAATACCTTTGGAAGCCGTTGCACTTATCACAAAAAGTCAGGACAATTTGTTCCAGCTCTATTATAAAGCAAATCTTCACTTTATGTTTAGTCGATTAAATGATCATTATTAAGAACGATGAAAGAATTGTTACGTAATAACCGAGCATTTAACTGTTTATTCGATTCAATTGATACCATGTTAAGAACTCATCAATGGCAGTGACAAATTTTCCAATTGTGCAGAAAAATTTTATTTAGTGGTTATATTATTTTTGCATGTTTGCTACTTTTTTTTATCAATTGTTTGTTTTTTATTTTGGCAAAAATAATTAAAAAATTTTTTTATTCTAATTAGTAATTTTACTCTTAAAGTTTATTTTAAAAAATTAAATTAAAAAATTATTTTATTAATTATATGTAAATTATATATAAATTTTATTCTAAAATTTGGTTTTTTAAACCGCGATTGTGATTTCAATATATCTTAATTTATGACCGAGAAAAAGATATGTGTATATATATATATATATATATATAATTCGTATTATATTAATATTAATATTAATAAATCCGTATTCTATTATATAATAGTATAACATTGATATTAATAAATCTAAGAAATAACGTAACGAATTAGAGAATATCTATTTTGATCGTGATTCATCTATTTTCTCGCATTTTTGATAGTAAACGATTTTAATAATTAATCTAATTATATCTATCAAAAAATACATTTAAAAACTTTTTTTTCTTATTCACTTTGAGTAGGATAAATCTAACAATGCGTCAGCGCAGAACTCAATAAATTGACTGATTAAATGGATGGAAGACTACTGACTGCAATGTTCTCGATGCAGTTAAATTTTAAGTTAAGCTATTATCAATTTTATGAATATTACACATTAATTTTGTCTCGTAAAAATTGATTTTTATATATTGTAATATTTTCCCACTGATTTTTTTTTTTACTTATTTTAAAAATATAACTAAGAATAATGTATAATATGTATTTGTCCCTTTACTAAAGACTCTTTATAGCGAAAGAATGCAATGCAATTTTATGTATAGATTGCGTTTGTCATATGATTTGTTATATATTATTTATTGCATAAGAGAGGTTTATTTATTATTACCTTTGAATCTTACAATCTGTTTAACTTAATCGTTACGTAGCTTATATATTTTATAAACATTTTTGCAAGAGAGTTTAAACAACGAGAATTTTATATTGCTTATAAAATATAATTCCAAGAATATATATATATATATTTATAATGAATTCTTAGATTAATTCTCGTAAACATTTTTTTTAATTATAGCGTTGCGGGATTCGTTTAAATCACTGTTTCTCACACTTCTAAAATAGCATGTCACTTGTCAAGATGATAATATTGGTAAAGAGGACTCTTCCGATAGTCTCTCTAAAATTAGTACACCCGGCTTGTTCCAGCCACGTTGTCCCAAGCATGAGGCTACGTAACTTGTCGAGTCCCCCCGATACGCATCGAGGAAGTAAGAATTAGGAGGATTGATTACAATAAACTCTTTTTTATCCCCTTGCTCCTCTGCTTCTACATATTCAATAAACGAATATTCGTTCCCTCTGACAAGTTAGATAATACGTACATACGTAACGTAATGATATGTTTTGATTTAAGTTGTATTATAATAATTTTATATATAATTAATGGTATTCATTTTATAATCAAATTAACATTGTATAATCATTAATATAATATTTATAGTGCAATCGTATATATGTGTTAATGATTGCAATACATCTCTATTTTACAATATTGTGTTTAATAAAATAATCACAAAGACTGAGCATTATATCTAAAGCGAATTTTTGTTTGATTTTTGTTACAGGCATAAACTGCAAACGAAGGAAATTACAACCTATGTCAGCGATTACTGAAAGTTGATTCAGACTGCAATAGGTGAGTCTTATAATTTGAAAAAATCCATCAAAGAATTTGCAAATAAATTTTGAAGTAAAACACAGTTAAATTGTTGATATTCACACACAGATATTAAAAACTTAACAGACGATAAATACTTGAATATTGAAGAGAAATTATACTGGATATAAAATAGAATAAAAATGAAAAAATATTAACATTATATTATTTTGCATACAATTATATAAATTTTATATACCTCTAAAATTGATTAAAAAATACATTTCGATAAATTACATTTACTTGGAGAATTTGCAAATAAATTTTGAAGAAAACATAGTTAAATTGTTGATATTTACACACAGATATTAAAAACTTAACAGACGATAAATACTTGAATATTGAAGAGAAATTATACTGGATATAAAATAGAATAAAAATGAAAAAATATTAATATTATATTAATGCATACAATTATATAAATTTTATATACCTATAAAATTGATTAAAAAATACATTTCGATAAATTACATTTACTTGGAGAATTTCATTTAAATGATACTTATTATTATATTCAACATTCAACAACATAATTTATCTTAACACGAGCAGAATACACGCTGTCTTGGAACAATCTGTGCCAATTACCAATTATATAATGATTTCCTTCTTCCTGGATATTTCTATCGCGACCATGATCTTATAATAGAAATGGTTCCTCCTAAAATTAGATGTATATGCATTGATTATTATGTGTACTATTTGCACGTTAAAATGTTCTAATGCAGCGCATTGCGTACCCTAATTCATTATCAAATAATTTTTAAAAATTAAACGTACATGGAATATTTATAAATAAAAATTCGATTCTACGATAATATGTCTGCAATAATTAATTTCGACGCGTGTATCTATTTTTAAATGTGAAAAAAGCGTATCGTTGCATACGCTGCTAAAAGCGTTATATATATTTTACGAGAATAGACTTTGTCCTCGCGGCGCGAGATCAATGATTGAGTTCAACAACGCGAAACAGTCAAAGGCGTAAATAGCGAAGTGCGAGGATACCGAGTGCAACCTTCAGCAAATTAACCTCAAGTTGCATTTGACCCCAATGCAATAATTAAGAGCAATCAGTTCGCGAAGAATGCATTAAACCCGCGTGTACAACAGATTCGCAATTGACATTTTTGCTCTATTCCATTGCTCCACATCCGTCAATTGATTAAAGGTCTAATGTACTGGATCATCCCGCGTTAACGTCGATTCCTACATATCTTCCCGTTTCAATTCATGTAATAATGTAATAAGTACAATCAAGTACGACGTTGTAATTTTTATACTATACATATAATTGTTTTTTTTTTTTTAATTATGTATCTCCAATAAAATATTAGAAGTACCTACACCGAAAACGCACATCAGCGAGATGCACAATTAATTGTATGAATTCATAAAAATAATTAAATTAAAATTAATTAATTAATTGAATTTAATACGTTGTTAGATATATATTTTGATAGCTTAATTTTTAATTATAAATAAAATATGAACTGGAAGATATCTATTAAAAGTTACGGTTTGTTATATATATAAACGTTGAATATAAATAAATTGAATTTGGAACGGTTTGTGCAGAAGACACACAGAAGCATATTGTTTATATGTCTAAGTTAGCGAGAAGGTTACATGTACATTATATGTGTATCTGTTATTATAAGAGAACAAAATAGAGCAAAGGCATACTTGACAAACGCGTGTCTTATTACAGTCCGTTACATGTCTTCATATCTTCTGCTTTGTACTAGTTTACCTAAAATTTTTATCGGCTACTGTAATAATTACAGAAAGTTATTGATCACACATTTATATATTTTGCTATATAAAGCGATTAATCGAGTGGAAAAATAGATTCAATATCTACAGGATCTTGAGAATTATCTTCAGAATTATCTATTACAGAGAAGTGAGAAAAGTTAGAGGAAGTTTGTGAGACCATGCCGAACAAACAGGAAGAAAATATACGTTTGGAGTTGATCGACTCTCAGAATTCTAAGTACGATTCAATTAAATAATATTAAATATATTAGTGAAAAATTTAGATTTTTTAAAATTAAAATTAATTTTTGTAATCAAAGAAAATCTTTCTTTCAATTTAAAATACATCGCTATTTTAATTTTTTTCCACAACATATTTTATCATAATGATATGTGAACATTTATACACAGGGAGAACAAAGAAATTGATACATCTTCAATAACTAATGACGCGTTATTTTTAAGCGACAAGATTTCGAATGACGTAGACAATGTCGAAGCCGAATTGTCTTCGAATGCTCAGGAAACCGTAGCATCTCCAAACTCTGTGGATGTCACAGATGCGGAGAATTATGATCCTCATCAGCATCGGATCGTACCAAATCCAACTACGTGAGTGCAAATTCAAATCAATCGCTTTGCAGATAACATTATATATGTAAAAAACGTAATAATACTTGGTCTCTTGTGATAAAATTCAATTCTCGTTACATTCTCTCTCCCCAACATTATTATATTGTAGCTGTTTACAATTTAAGATATGAGGTCAAAATTAAGATGTACAAAAATTAACATCATTCGCAATCAAATAGCTGAAATATGGATGTTGAATACTGCGTCTCTTTTATAATATGCATGCTTCTAAAATTTAGTCGAGGAAAGAAAAGTTGTACTTCAAATTTATATGAAAAAGATAGTGGTATAGAAACATCTTCCGCGACGCTTTTCGTTTTATTATATAACGCGGGAATATTTTTTCTTTCAGAAATTTGGAAACCTTGGTCCACTTGCTGAAAGGAAGTCTCGGCACGGGGATCCTGGCAATGCCGAACGCGTTTGGCAATAGCGGCTACCTGGTTGGTATCGTAGCTACGGTAATCATAGGAGTGCTGTGTACCTACTGTTTGCACATACTCATAAGGTCGCAGTACACATTGTGTAAACGATTAAAAGTTCCTATATTGAGCTATCCGCATAGCATGAAGCACGCTCTCGAGCAAGGTCCTCAATGCTTGCGACGGTTCGCCAAATATGCCCCGTAAGTATCCTCGTGCTTGCTCTATCTATAACAAGTCGACACAGCATGGTTCTATAAATACACTGTAAAAAAATATGTAATATATTACACAAAAATATGTAAAATTACATAAATAATATTTAAGTGTAAAATTACACGATAAATAATAAAAATGTTTACCTTTTCATTATTTATCGTGTAATTTTACATTTATTATTTATGTAATTTTACATATTTTTAATGTAATTTTACAAAATTTTTTTACAGTGTATATATGAGATAGTTGTATATACGTCATACCTTATTTTCTTACCTCAACAATCTCTTGATAAAAAATCATAAATAAGCAAGTAGATATAAGACACTTTGGGACACTTTATCGCGATGTGTCAAGCGAATGAAAAAAAAAAATAAATAATATAAATAAATAATATATTCTTTGAAAAAAATTCTGATATGTAAAAAATATAAATTCAGATATAAAAGGACTAATAACAGCTAGGTGCAGATGCTAGATAAAATTATATTTAATGTTTCGATTTTTTCTTTGATTCTTCTTTTGATCTCAGTGATATGTAAAACAGTATTGATCAATACTCAGAACATACACCTGAAATTTCTTAATTTATCTGCTGAAGATTATTTAAGGAAATGACCGAAATGTTCCAAATAATTAAAGAAAAATTTGAAAACAATTTTTCTTTTTACTTTTGATATCTGTGCCTGTTTCTTATTAGCACTTTTCTAAAATAAATGTATTTATATAATAATAATGTTAAAATGTAATAATATTATTTAATTGTTGATTATAAATATTAATGATGGATTTGTTTCAAATTATATTTTACTTTTAAAATATATATTAAATGCGTTGTTTTATTATTGTGTTTATATAAAATTTAAAAAAAAGTAATTAATCACGACACAAGAGAGAAAAAAGTATATATTTTTTATTTTAATTAATTTTATACTAGAATCAAAAGACACACGAGTGCGCAACCAAAAATTGTAATAAGAAATGATCTTAAAAAATATTTTATTATTCTAGATGCTTCATAGACATCTTTATGATAACATATCAACTGGGAATTTGCTGCGTTTATATTGTATTTGTAGCAACAAATATAAAACAGGTAAATTGATAAAAAAATCAACTTGCAATAAGAAATCGATATTTAGCATTCTGTGATACATGCTATCGAAAAAAATTACTCTATCGCTGACATTAAATATATTTGAAAATTAAATATATCGCTTAAATATATCGCTGAAATTAAATATATCCAATTTAGAGCAATTGGAATGATTTTTTAATATTAAATTATATTATAAATAAATCATATATGTATATACATATACTTTTTTATATTTGTAATTTATATTTTTTATATTTGTAATTATATTTTATAATTGTAATTTTTTCCCGATGTACGCAGGTAACAGATCACTATTGGACAACTTTTTCAGTTGAGACTCATATGCTTTTCTTATTTGTTCCGCTGATATTGATCAACTACATTAGAAATCTGAAGTTATTGGCGCCGTTTTCAACGCTAGCGAACCTTATCACAATCGTCAGTCTTAGTCTGCTTTTGTCGTACATGTTTCAAGATCTACCATCGATCACCGATAGAGACATGTTTGGATCATTCCGAAATTTTGCCCTTTACTTTGGAACTACGTTATTTGCATTAGAAGCTGTCGGTGTGGTAAGTATCTGGCGAAGGATATATTTTTCTTAGACAATATTATTGTCAATTTGATCTCGGAAAAATAGAAATGTTTTTACATATGTACAAAAAATTGAATTTTTTTTATATGTACAAAAATTATTTTTAATCGCTGATGTATCCCGAAACCTTTTTATAGCTCAATTTGTCCCAATTCAGATCTGTTCGGTCTTCAATTTAAAATGAGTGTATAATTTTCAAAGTATTACTGTCTTGAGATATTTTTTACCAGAAAAAAAGTAATGAAAAAATTACTTTCATTTATATATTATTATTATTCTGTATTACGCAGATTATAGCTCTAGAAAATAACATGAAGACACCGAAATCTTTTGGCGGCTATTACGGTGTGCTAAATATAGGAATGAGTGTGATTGTTGTTTTGTATATAATTATCGGATTTTTTGGATATTTGAAATACGGATCCGAAGCTGCGGGAAGCGTCACTTTCAATTTACCACAGGAGGAAGCGTGAGTGAAATAAAATAATATTAATAAGATATTGAAAGACAGCTGTTACAATGTCATTTTATTTTTACTCTCGCAATGCCAGTGAAGCATTCGTTCCATTTCTTTTACTAAAATTCTCTCGTGCGAGAAATTAATATCTATTTAATAAAAGTATAAAAGCACTTCTTGAATTTATAATTAAATATATCTAAAATTTAGGACGACGAAATTATTTTTTATATTATATTATATTATAAATGAATTATATACTTATATATTTTTTTATTCTCCGTTTGCAGTTTAGCTCAAAGTATTAAGATTATGTTCGCAATTGCCATATTCATCACGTACGCTTTACAAGCTTACGTGCCCGTCGAAATTCTGTGGAACACCTATCTGGATTATAGGATAAAGACTCGCAAACTTTTCTGGGAGTACGTTTGTCGGACACTTGTTACCGCGGTGACATGTAAGTATAGCATCTAAAGTATCTCCTAGACCGGTGAATAGTATATATTTTGTAAATTAATAAAAAGAAACAATTTTGTGAGAGAAAATTTCTAATATTGGCATGCAAGTAGTATAGGTACCTAAAAAAAGTAGACGTATATCAAATGTGGCATTCGAGACATCTCTTTGAAGATGATTAATATTTTTATTTTTAATATTTTATTATTTTATATTTTAATATTTTTATAATAATATTTTCAATATTAATTTATTATATATTTTTATATAATATTATATAATATTTTATATAATATTTTTATATATTTTTAATATAAATTTAATATTTTTAATATTTTTTTATTATTTTAATATTTTTCCGATTAATATTTATATTTTCTGTGACTTTATATGTTTTCCTGCGACTTTATAGAGTATTTCTTGATCATTTCAGTCGTCTTTGCGATCGCTATACCGAGGCTCGGCCTATTCATCTCTCTCTTTGGCGCACTCTGCTTATCCGCTCTTGGCATCGCTTTTCCGGCCATCATCGAGATATGCGTACTGTGGCCGGAGATGAATTTCGGCCCTTTCAAAATCACGCTAATCAAGAACATACTCCTGATCGCGTTCGGATTGATGGGTCTCTTGGTCGGCACTTACGTCAGCGTAGTGGACATAGTAAGATCGTTCGCTTGAGGATAAGATCCTGCCAGGTTGATTAGAATGATATATCGAAGTACACCCGCGAGATTTGCTACGATAATAGAAGAGCTGCGAGCAAGCGAAAAGTGCTTTTATAAGCTGCATCACCGCCATAAGTTTACTTAGACTTTACGTTAAATGAAAGAAGGATAGAGACGCGCGCTATAAATGATAGCGGTGGACAAAGGACTGTCTGAGATTTCGCGACAACCTCCGATCGCAATCAAATCGGATGGTTCGATCTGTGATGAAAACTTTAAGTATCGATGATGTAATCGCGAAAGCATTATCGTCGCGCGTCTCTTGTAGAAAGTTTTTATCATCCACTTTAGAGAGATGCATTTTTTTCTATGCATTCGACTGATCGTATAAAGTACAGTATAAAGTATATTTAAATATATAAATAAATATATACTGTATGTACGAACAGTTTATTATAGTACATATTGAATTATGAATATATATCGAGCGGGTGAATTTACGATAAATTTCAAATGACAATTAATTATTCGCGCTTAAACTTTTATCTCGGTGATACGAGTACTTAGGAACACGAATACGGCTGGCATATATTTTTATTTCTTTTTAAAAATGTCGCAACAAAGTCGTATTGTAATATATACAAATTCTAACGTATATCGGAAATTCGTAGATAAACATATTTTTTCGCATGAAAATTTTATTCATATTGATTAGAAATAGGTAATAAAATCAGAAAGTATGACATTGCATCATCATTGATATTTGATAAGGAGGATAGAACAAAGATTTAACTGTAATTTGTGAGATGCTTTATTTCTCTTGCCTAAAAATAGTTATTATTAAATATATAAATGTAGGATTAAATTTTATCAATAATATGATTTACGCGATTATATTGTATTTTATAATAACGCAATTGTGAAATCCTCATTGTGGAAAATATTCTGAATATTACGTTGTTGATAGGAAATTGTATATTCTAATCTCGTGAAATTTTTCTATATTCTGCCATTATACAGTTTTATCCCGGTTTTATCCTGTTTTATCTTTTAAATTTTAAGAAAAATTGTAAAAAAAAAATTTTTTTCAAGAAGCATCAACTATAAGACTTGAGTCTTTTTAAAAACATTGTTTTGACAAAATAATGTTCAAACAATTAAAAATGAAAGTAACGTAAGAAATAAGTTATTATAAATATTATATATAGACATATACGTTTCATTTTCTATCATCGAAATTGTTCTCAAAAATGTTCTTCGCAGGATATACATATATTAAATGAAAGTATATTTCTAAGAAATGTAAGTGCAATACAAACAAGCAAAAGTGAATCTATTTATGTATACAATTATTGTGGAAATAATTTTAAACTATATTTGTAATACGGACCATAAAACAATTAATAATTTTTTTATATAGATATTTATATATATCTATCCAAAGATCTAATTCATCTAAGTCGTCAAAATTTGGCTTACTGTCACCAGAACCACTCAGACCACCTATCTGTCGCATCATCTCTTCTAAATCAGGTGGACTGTCTTCATCGTCAGTATCATCTTCATCCTTCCATTTGTTGAAGTCGCTCTTTAATCAGTGAGCCTTTGTTTTGTTCTTAATTAGCCGTGGCCAATATGGTCCCTCCTCCTTCTTAATAATAATGCAAATTATAAATGTTCCATGTTACGTTGTTAACTTTTTGCATTTTTTATTACGTTTTACTTTTTCTACGTTTTTTTTATTCGATGAATAATGTGATTACTTTTACAATATGTTTTTATCAAGTTTCTAATCTCATCAATGAAAAAAATATTTTATGAATATTTTATTTCTTATTAAATTATCGACTATTCTATTTCTGTCATAATGTTCATGCGATATATTTTAGACACACAACTTTGTAATTTTCTCGCATGTTTCATTCCTGTGTTCATAAAATTTAAGTTTTTTTAGTCTTTAGTTCGTTCTCCTCAGGATTCATTTTCTTCATTTTTTTTGACTGCTGGTCCCAAACTTTCTTCGCAGTAGGCCGTCTGAAATTCCAACAAAAATATTTTAATTAATTTTCGAAAATTACCATAAAAAGTACAATTGCCCGTGGTTACTTTTACAATATATGTTTTTACGAATATCATGCAAGACATTTAATAAGATATATTTTTATTTAATACATATTTTATCTATAATTTTAGTTTGCTCAACATTAGAAACGCAAATTCTCTTCGACAAAATGCAAAGTATTTAGCACGTCAATTTAACATAATCTTAGACTGAAAAAATATTCATTCATTGTAATGACGTAAAATATTTCTCAGGTTGCGGAAGCAATATCAACTCGAAAGTATATCTAAATCAGAAGGTATTATATTAATATTGTTGACTAATAATAATTCTTCTTAAAGCATTACATTGTTGACAAGGAATAATGAATTATTGTTATCTAAACAAATTTTAAATTAGTTTTACAAATGATGAGAAATATAAAATCCTGTTATTAGGAATATTTATAATTAAAATTGTATTGATATTTATTGTATAATGGAGATATATATGTGTTATAAAACAACACATTTGGTTAATTTTTATGCGCGCCATGAATTAATGCGTTACTATCGACAAATATGTATGTTGCCTCGCTCTCTGTATCGCTCTGAGTATGTAGTTGTTATCAAAATAATAGCATAATACCAAACAGAACGAATGAAAATCTTTGCAACAAGCCTATCATTATAGATGCAAAATGAGTAGAAGCAATATAATGACTATTATATTAATAGTTGCGATGCAAATTGTAGATTAGTAACGATCTCACAAAACAAATGTAATGTACATCAGACATCGTTTAATATATACATTTTATATGAAAAATAGAATCCATCTTTTATAGTATAAGTTTAGAATATATAATTTTAGATAATTAAATTTTAGAATTAGATTTTAGAAAAAGAGAGTATCTTTTTATAATATAATTTTTTCGTAATTTCTGAATTAAATGTATTAGTCAATAATCATACGACATATATACGAAATCTTGCAGATTCGCTCATTTACAATTTGTCTTAGGCTAAGTATATGTGCATACTATTACTATTATTGACTTTCTGTCAAGTAATAGTTTAGTCGATGATTAAAAAATTTTATTATGAGAGAGCACATGCTTACGAAACTTCGATGTCGATTCGATTAAAAGTTAAAAGACTGTTTAATTTTGACTTCAGTTTGACTTTTTGACAAGAGTGATTATCGACTATCGCCATGAAAATTAAGTGTTGATTCTATATATTTTCAATTATGTAAAAATTAATCATTTATATAAAGTCATGTAAATTATATTATTTGTATAATTAGTTAAAGTATATAATAATTAAAATCTGAATAATATATATATATATATATTATGTTATATTAATTTAATTTATATTATATATATTATTCAATATATATTATATAATACATATAATTATATTACTTATATAATATATAAATATATATTTATTATACATGAATATTATATAATTATGTAAATTTATATTGTTACTTTTTGACAAAAGTGATTATCGACTATCTCCATGAAAATTAAGTGTCGATTCTATGTATTTTCAATTATGTAAAAATTAATCATTTATATAAATTCATGTAAATTATATTATTTTTATAATTAGTTAAAGTATATAATAATTAAAATCTAAATAATATATATATATATATAATATATATATATATATATATATATAATATATATATTATGTATATAATTATATTAATTTATATTATTCAATATATATTATATAAGTAATATAATTATATGTATTATATAATATATAAATATATATTTATTATATATGAATATTATATAATTATGTAAATTTATATTGTTGAAGCAACGGCTATTGATCAATTGTCAACTGTAGTATGCATGAATTCTCACCTAAATTGTTTAATCTATAAAAAATTATTGGTGCTGTTCGACATTTATTAAATAGTTTAATCGATGCAAAATTGATTGTAAGCGCCCAACCTTTTATATTCACTTTTGCCTTATCTTGTTTAAAGAATGCATTAAAGAGATTGAAAAAAATATATAGTATTTTTATTTAAGAAATATTCACATGTATCGGTGAATTTTGTCGAATTTTATATTTAGAGAAAAGAAAAATCTCAGAGAGTCAGAATTTAAATATATGGTTTTTATAAGTAAAAACATAGAAGCATACATCATATATAATAATAAATGTTATATATATATATATATATATATATATATATATATATATGTATGTATGTATGGTATGCCTCTTTCATATATGTGCATTTTTAAAAATATATTCTCGTAGTTATATATGGAATGTACAGTTGTATGTGTCAATTGTTTAAAAATTAATATTCGTGACAAGCAATGCGTTTTCATCATCTTTTGATTATCTTAACAGTTTTCTAATTTTCGCGTTATTTGTTTCTATTAATCCATTTTCGGCCGCAAAAGAAGAAAGAAAAAAATACATTTTATCGTGACGATTTTTCTGAGATTATTGAAGATTATTAAAAACGCGTGAAAATCTTTTGAGAAAGAAATGTAGCATTAATTCAACAAGACTGTTGACAGGATTTGTTACCCACATAAATACGAAATGGAATGAGAAGAATTTCGTTTAATAAAATTCTTTGTAGGTAATGTATTTAAATGAATATCATCTATATATTAAACACAAACGAATGCAGATTTTCATTTTTCGACACTAAAGAAAAGTAAACATTTCATTGTTTATACTTTGTTTTTATACATTATTTAAACATTGTTTATATTTTTAATCTAAATTTCTAAGCTAGCAATAAAGTCACATGTATGTTATATTTGTTTGTTATGAGAAAATAAAGCAAATGCACACTTATAAGACGAACGCGTGTCTCATTACACTTCTTCATACCTTCTACTTTGTATTTATGTATATGTATCATTTTATCTTAAATTTATTGGCTACTGTTGCGTAATAATCACAGAAAAATATTAATCACACATTTATATACTTTTGCTATATAAATATATGATTAATCTTCTTAAAAATGGCTTCAACATCTACAGACACTAAAGTGGTTATAGAAGATTCTATTTCAGATATTAGGAAAAATGTTGTGAAATCTGTTTGTGCAGCCAAGCAGAACATAGAGGGAGAAAATACACTTTTGGAAGTGATCAACAGCCAGAAGATTTTATCTAGGTACGATTCAATTAAATAATATTGAATATATTAGCAATTTTAATTATTTTATAATTAAAATTTATATGTTTGTAATCAAAGAAAATTGTTTCTTGACCTGAAAGACATTAACATTTTTTAAATTTCTCTCCGTGATACTTTTTATTACGTTGCTATTAAAGCGAAAATGTATTTACAGGAATAACGAAGAAGCTGGTCCATTCTCAAGAACTGAGGCATCATCTTCGAGCAACGCAGATAATATCGAAGGTGAACCGTCACTGAATAATAACAATTCTCTAAACTCTTCAGATGTTACAAATAATAAAATTCAGGACGTAAATTCAATGTGAGTACAAATTAGAATTAATCGTTTTGCAGATAATATATTTAAAACGTATAATAATACTTTGTCTCTTGTGATAAAATTCAAATTCTTGTTACATATTCCATCTCCCTTTCCAACATTTATTACATCTTACAATTTAAGGTATAAGGTCAAAATATATATTTAAGATGTAAGAGACAGAATTAACATAATTCATATAGTCGAAATATGAATGTTAAATAAACGCACTGTCTCTTTTAACGCACGTTTTTCGTTTCATATAATGCGAGAATATTATTTTTTCTTTCAGTTATGATATCTTAGGCCAAATGGTGAAAGGAGGTTTCGGTATAGGGATTTTAGGAATGCCGTACACGTTTGATCATAGGGGCCTCGTGGCCGGCTCTGCAGCTACAATAATCTTATTTGTGTTTTGCGTCCACTTTTTGATTTTATTCATCCAGTCGCAGTACAAAAAGTGTCAAAAGTTAAAAATTAATGTATTAAGCTATCCAAAGAGCACGAAGCACGCTCTCAAGCAAGGTCCTGCATGGTTGCAACGGTTTATCAAATATGTCCCGTAAGTATTCTCTTCCTTACTCTATAACGAATCGATACAACATGGTACCAAATAAATGTAAACGTCAATTTTCTTTTATTTCGACAATTTCTTAATAAAAAATAATAATTAAGCAAATAAAGAGTAATAGAATGTAAGTAAAGTTTTAATACAATAGAAAAACATGCACGAGTTCGTAATCATAAATTATAATAAGAAGTGATCTTTAAAAAGTGCTGTATTATTTCCAGGTACTTCATAGACATCTTGATGATAATATATCAATTAGGAATTTGCAGCATTTATATTGTATTTATAGCATCATTTATAAAACAGGTAAATTGATAGAAAAAAAAATCAAATTTTAGTAAGAAATTGATATTTAGCATTCTATGATACATCGAGAAAAAATCGCTATCGCTGACGCCAGCGTAGACGATTTAACACGAGCGAGTTCAAGAGAATCATTAGCATCGAACTAAATAAGCGCATTTAATTGTAATTTTTTCCCTACGTACGCAGATAACAGATAAGTACTGGATACCTTTGTCGACTGAGATTCATACGTATCTTTTATTTCTTCCGCTGGCATTGCTCAACATTCAAAATCACATGTTACTGGAGCCGTTTACCATTCTAGGGGATTGTTTCACAATCGGCAGTCTCAGTCTGCTTTTATCGATCATGTTTTACGATATATCATCGATCACCAAAATGGACATGTTTGGGTCATTCAGAAATTTTGCTGTCTATTTTGGAATGACGTTATTTGCATTAGAAGCTATCAGTATGGTAAGTATATCTGGAGGAGGATATATTTTTCTTAGACAATATATTTGTCAATCTCATCTCGAAAAAATTGAAATTTTTTACATACACCAGAAATTGACAAATAAAAAAATTTGATTCCTTTATTATTACTATTATTCCGTATTATGCAGATTATAGCTCTGAAAAAGGATATGAAGCCGACGTTGAAATACAAGTTTCTAAATATAGGGATGAGTTTGATTATTATTTTATACATAATTGTCGGATTTTATGGCTATTATAGATACTTATTTAAAGTTACGGAAAAGGACACTCCTAGTACACCAAGGCTGTGAGTAAAACAAAATAATATATTAACAGAGAGCTATTATAATGTTGTTTTATTTTTACTCTCGTAATACCGTGAAACATTTGTTCCATCTCATTTACTAAAATTCTTCTGCGCAAGAAACTAATATCTATTTATATGTAAAAGTAAATATATGTATACAAAACTATATATAAAAATATATATAAAAACATTTCTCGAAATTTTAATTAAATATATTATATCTAATTTAGAACGACAAAATTATTTTTTTCTATATATTATATTATTAAAAAAATTATATACATATATAATTATATAGACATATATTTTTTTGTATTTTCTGTTTGTAGTAATCTGTCAGATAATATTAAAATTATCTTTATGATTTCCATGATTATCACGTACACTTTACAAACTTTCGTGCCCTTTGACATTCTATGCAACATCTGTTTGGTTCATTTTGTCGAAAAGACTCGCGTAGAGACTCGCGTAGGAGACTCGCGTGGGAGACTCGTGGAAACTGACGTAGAATGTAAGAAAAAAAAGAAGCTAATAAAGCGAATATGCGTGTACGCTTGTCGGGCCGTTGTTATCGTGGTGCCATGTAAGTAGCATCTAAAGTATCTCTTAGAATCGATGACTAATATACATATTTCGTAAACTAATGAAAAGAAAAAATTCCGTGACAGAAAATTATTTCTCTCTGTACGACATATAAAAATCTAAGAAAAAGTAATCAGTATTGTAAAAAGAATGAAATATTGCATTCCAGCACGGCATCTCTTTGAAGAAGATGCCAGATTAATATTTCTTTCTGCAACTTTATTTAGAACATCTCTATATTATTTCAGTCGTCTTGAGATTTTTTCCGAAGTTAAGCCACTTCATCTCTCTTTTCGGCGCACTCTGCGTATCCGCTCTTAGCGTTGCAGTTCCGGCCCTTATCGAGATATGCATACTGTGGCCGGAGAAGAATTTCGACCCTTTCAAAATTAAGCTAATCAAGAACATGTTCTTGATCGTATTCGGATTGGTGGGTTTCTGTTCCGGGATTTACGACAGTATAAAGTACATAGTACATAAGACGTAATCCATAAGATCTCTCATTGATAAATAATAAGATCCTGCCAAACTCACTGAAATGATATCAAAGTACACCCGCGAGATCCAACATATCGCATAAGCAAGCAGTTGAGAAATGCTTTCATAAGTCCCCTCATCGCATAAATATTTATGTGCGGTCTACAATAGAGTCGCAAATTCGTAAGTTTTAAGAAATTAATTGCAGTCGATTATTCTCTTCACATTCAACTGCAATTGATCAATTTTTTTACAATTTACGAGTTCACGACTCTATTGTAGATCCCGCATTAGACTTTATACATTAAATCAAAGAAGGGCAGAGACGCGCGCTATAAATGATAGCGATGAACAAAATCGCTAGCAAACGCAAAAATTATGAAATAGCATTAATCATTGATATTTCATAAGAAGAATAGAACAAAGATTGAAACAATTTAATTGGGGCTGCTTTATTTTTCTAAAAATAGTTATTTTTAAATATATAAACTGTATATAAGATAAAATATTTTATCAATAATATATTATTGTAAAATTCTTATCGTGGGAAATTGTCTCAATATTACGTTGTTGATAGGAAAATTTTATTCTAATGTGAAATTTTTCTATATTCTACCATTGTACAGTTTTATCTAGGTTTTATTCTGCTTTTAAATTTTAAGAAAAATTGTGAAAAAATTTTTTTTCACAAACATATTGACTATAAGACTTGAGTCTTATTAAAGACGTTTTAACAAAACAATGTTCAAATTAAATTATTCAATTAAAATTAAAATGTAAGGAATAAGTTATTATCTACATATTTCATCTTCAACTGTCGAAATTGCTCTCATAAATGCTCGTCACACGGTATATAAATGTATGTATATTTTTAAGAAATATAAGTGTAAAACGAACAAGCAAAAATGAATCTACTTATGTATACAATTATTGTGGAAATAATTTTAAACTATATTTATAATACGGACCATAAAAATAATTAATAATTTTTATATATAGATATTTACATATATATAAATCTCTTCAAAGATATAATCAGGCAATTAGAAATAATCAGAAAATTAATAATTGAAAGTTTTTATAATATATAATATAAATCGTAAATGTTCCATTACGTTGTTAGCTTAATTTTTTTATTATTATTTTACTTTTTCTATACGTCTTTTTATTAGATGAATAATCACGCAGTTATTTTCACAATATCTTTTTACAAATATCGTACAAGACATTTAAGATAAATTTTTGTTTAACGTAATAATACACATTTTAACTCATAATTTTATTTTGCTCGATATTTAAGGAACGCAAATCTTCTTCGACAAAATCAAACTGTTTAATACGTCAATCTAATATAATCTTAGACTGAAAAAATATTATTACATTGTAATGATGTAAAGTATTTCTCAGGTTGCGAAAACAATAATATCACCTCGAAAGAATACCTAACTCAAAAGATATTATTGTTGATTATTAATATTTATATTATATTAATTTTTCCTAATGCATTACATTGTTACATTGTCTTAATGCATGACGAGGAATAGTATCGAATTATTCTAAACAAAGTTAATTTTATAAATGATGTAAAATAGTCCTGTTACCACGAATATAATTTATAATCAAAAGTATATCAATATTTATAGTGACGTGTATATACAAGATTATATAATATAAAAAAAAATAAATAAAAATCTTTGCAATAAGCCTATCATTAGAAACAAAATGAGTTAGCAACAAAATGACTATTGTACTGATAGTTGCGATGCAAATTGTAGATTAGTGGCGATCTCACAGAATAAATGTAATGTATGTACATCGGACATCGTTTAATATATTGTACCATTTTATACATGAAAAATAAAATTCATCTTTTATAATATAATTTTAGAGTATATGTTTTTAGATAATTTTAGAAAAAAGGTATCGTTTTATTTTTATAATATAATTTTTCCGTAATTTCTAAATCATACATTAATAGCCGATAATCATCTGACATTTCTATGTACATATTTTGTCTAATTATTTTAGACTAGATGCATTATTATTACTCTTATCTACTTTTTGTCAATTAAGAGTTTACTCAATGATTAAAAAATAATGAGAGAACACATGCTTACAAAACTTGATTCGATTAAATAAGTTAAAAACAGTTCGATGACTTTTTGACAAAACAAGTGCTGGTCGATTAAGTATCGCCAAAAAATTACATGTTGATTGTATAAATTTTACTTATGTAAAAGTTATCATTTCTATAAATCCATGTAAATTATATTTGAATAAAATAATAAAATTACAATTAATACTAAAATATTAAATAATTATATATATTATATAATAAATAATATATTATTAATACAATAAATAATAATATATAATGTAATAAATAATATATATTAATTAATACATTAATATCTTAATTATATTATTTATCATATATATAATTTATTAAATATTAAATATATATAAATAATATAACTTTATTAACATATAGTATATACATATTATATATATTATATATTTAATATATTAATATATTCTTGAAGCATTGATCGATTGACAATGTAGTATGTGTAAATCGTCGCCTAAACTGTTTAGTCCATAAAAAAAATGATAAATGCTGCTCGATATCTATTGAACAGTTTAATTGATGTAAAATTAATAGTATATATACGCCAATCCTTTTATATTTACTTTTGCTTTATCTTGTTCAAAGAATACATTAAAAAGATTGAAAAAAGTATATAGTATTTTAATTTAAAAGCAATATTTGCACGCATCGGCGATTTTGTCGAATTTTGTATTTGGAGAAAGGAAAAAATCTCAGAATTTAAATACATAATTTTTATAAGTAAAAACAGAAGCATACATCATATATAATAATAAATGGTATATATATATGGTATGCCTCTCTCATATATGTGCAATTTTTTTTCGTAGTTATATATATGGAATGTACAGTTATATCTCTTTCATCGCGCGCATCTTCTTATAACGCATCTTTTGCAAATCGTTATCGAAAGAACTGGAAAAAATAGATCAATTTGATTAATTAATTAAGATGGATATAATAAAAATATTGAATATGTTAATGATAGATAAATAAATAACAGGAATAAAAAATCAACAGTTCTTTTCATAAACGATCATCGTTTCTCATAAACACAGTAATTAACTACTAGCCTCACATTGTGCTAGTATATTAATTGTTACATACAATAACTAATGATAGAATAAACGTACCCTATAGTTAGTTTGTTAAACAAGGATCTTAAACTATTTTCTTTGTCAGTAAATACGTATATGTGCCAATTGTTTAAAAATTAATATTCGTGACAAGCAATGCGTTTTCATCATCTTTCGATTATCTTAACAGTTTTCTAATTTTCGCGTTACATTTCCTTAACCCATTTTCGGCCTCAAAAGAAGAAAAAAAATATATTTTATCGTGAGTTTTCTGTGAGATTATTGAAGATTATTAAAAACGGGTGAAGTTTTTTTAAAAAAACATTGCATTAATTCACAGGACTGTTGACAGGATATCCACATAAATACAAAATAGGATGAGGGAAGAATTTCGTATAATAAAATTCTTCGTAATGTATTTATGAATATCTATTTATTACACACAGACGAATACAGATTTTCATTCTTCAATAAAGGAAAGCAAACATTTCGAAGAGAATTTTTTGACGTTGCGTCAACACCGCGAAATTAAAAAAAATATATATATAGAAACATTTGGCATTTATCATATGTAGAAGAAAAATATACAAGACGTTGACCGGAAATGGGTTAATAATAAATAAGTTAATAAATCGCGCGGAGAACGAAATATATCTTTATTTCATCGCGATCATCATCCTCTCGATACAGAAATAAAAAGTAATGTCGTCACCTTCGTTGACGCAACGAAGCCAATTTTGACAGGACAGGGATGCAAGGGAACGGGGATACAGAAAAGGACGAGGAGGACGAAATAAGCGACGCGAGATCGAGGAAAGGAAAACTTGGATTACGCGTGATCACCGCTGAAGTAACTACTCTGCATCATAAACAGTTTATCGATGGGATTGTGTATGGCCGCGTGCAGACTCTGCGACAGCGATGGGGTGTCGTGCGATGACGAGCCGTGATGGGAATGCGAGGCGCCCTGGTGACTTCCGTCCGCTCCGCCGCCGTCGTTCTCGCCGATGTCAAAGCCGCCGTCCGTCCCGTCCAGGGACAAGTCGCTGCTGCAGAAGCTCTCCCCCGAGTGTCCTGGATACGCGTCTGTAAGAAATCAAATGTCATACTTTTTTTTCTGTTTTTTATTTTTTGCGAAATTTTATTTCACATTCGCAATAAAATCTTCGAAATTTTTATATGCACAAAAATATACGTAATACAAAACTTTACATAGTATATAATGAAATATATTTTCCCGGTATTAATTTTTTGAAACCTTTTATATAATTTTTTTTAAATATCTATATCTTCAAAATAATATCGATTGAATTTTATTTCACATTCGCAATAATAAGGAAAAATCTTCGAAATTTTTATATGCACAAAAATATACGTAATACAAAACTTTACATAGTATATAATGAAATATATTTTCCCGGTATTAATTTTTTGAAACCTTTTATATAATTTTTTTTAAATATCTATATCTTCAAAATAATATCGATTGAATTTTATTTCACATTCGCAATAATAAGGAAAAATCTTCGAAATTTTTATATACACAAATATACGTAATACAAAACTTTACATAGTATATAATGAAATATATTTTCCCGGTATTAATTTTTTAAAACCTTTTATATAATTTTTTTTAAATTTCTATATCTTCAAAATAATATCGATTGAATTTTATTTCACATTCGCAATAATAGGGAAAAATCTTCGAAATTTTTATATGCACAAAAATATACGTAATACAAAACTTTACATAGTATATAATGAAATATATTTTCCCGGTATTAATTTTTTAAACCCTTTTATATAATTTTTTTTTAATTATCTATATCTTCAAAATAATATCGATTGAATTTGGATAATAATTATAATAATTTTTTTATAAATATTTGCTTTTAAGAAAAAAAAATTTGCATATTCATAAAAGACAAAAATTAAAAATTGCATATTCTGGAATAGAAAAGTGAAATAATCTCTCTTTTATATCTAAACTAGGATATCAAGTGGTAGAGTAAAATAATCGCGATTGTAAAATAATGCTAAAAATTCAGATCCGAAAAATTCAGAAAAATATCATCGCTCTGTGCTCTATATAGAAGCTAAATAAATATTTGCTTCGAACCTGCGTAGACGCGTGACGTGTGCAGGATGTTTTGAAAAAAAATGTATAGCGAAGCTTCCTCTCTTTGATATGAAAAAAAGTGGTTGGAGTAAACACAGATTTTGTCTCTCAAAAACTTTTTATGAAAGTGTTCTTGAAATTTTTATGTGTGTGAGCTGCAGTTGTTACAACATTTTAATATTCAACGGTAAAAATTTTATTTAAATCCCTGAATTTTTTAATATATGTGTGTATGTGTGCGAGTAATATAAAAATAAAAATACGAAATAATCGGTTAAACTTGTATTAAGAAAAAATTAAATATATATATATTGCAATGCATTTATTATTAATACTCGCTTTTCCGACAACGTCTGATTTAATCATCTATACATATTTGCCTTTTTAATATTATCGAATATTTTAATATTATAGAATTTGTATCCCTATATTTTAGGAGACCTCTCGATAGCAAAATTTACCGAATTTTGATTGGAAGAAAGAAACAATTTTGTGAAAAAGTTGAAAAGTAGAATGTCATCGCATAAGTGTCTGTCAGGACGCAAACGCGTTACGCACATGCCCCGGTATCTCTCTGTGACATTAGTGCGCAAATGAGTTTCTACGGTGAGTAAAGACTTACCGTCGGGCGAGTACGGGTTATTGGGGTTGAGCGGTTGGGTGGCTGAGGGGAAGCTAGAAGATTCCCCATCGCGCATGTTCAGGGCGTTCAAGTAATGACCTGCGAACGAGATTAGACAATTGATATTGAACTCACTCGTTTACTAATGCCCCATTAACCAGTCTTCGCAAATTCGCCACGCGATCTCCCGACGAGGTCGCGTCGCTCTCTCGCAATTCTACGCTCTAATTCTGCACAGTTTCTTTTTTTTTTTTCTAAATAATCGAGAAAAAAAAAATGTCGATTGCCAAAATTAAAATCGAAATTTTAATTAGAATTTGGAAAATAAATAGAATCGATGGGATGCTTAAAATTTTGCAGGACCACGAGGAACGTCGGGATCGGGAAGGATCTAAATTCTAGTCGTGTCCGGCGAAAATATATCTGAATTTTCGACGGAGTTTTTTCTTAGGGTGAGAAGAGAGATAGATAGTGCGAAAAGGGCTTCTTACTGTGATCGCTGTGCGGACTTTCCGTCCTTCGTTCCTCTTTCGGTTCTTTGTCGGATCCCGGCTCGGTTTTCGCCTTCCTCTGAAGCTTCTTCATCTTTGCCCGTTGATTCTGGAACCACACCTGGACCACACGCACGCTGAGACCGGTGTCCTTGGCGAGGGCCTCTCGTACCTTCCTGCAGGGTTTCGGTGACACCTCGAAAGATGCCTTGAACTGACGTCGTTGCGCAGACGTGAGTATCGTTCGCGGCCGTTTTGGACCTCGACGACCGTCCCGTGGTCGATTCTCGTCCAATAAGTCATCATCTGACAATATGTACGATTCATCTTATATTTTTATCAATAATTCACATGGAAAAAATCTCAATGTTGTCTTTTTTATAAAATCCTTATAATAAAATTTTTCACATAAATGTAAGAAGAATTAAAGTTGCGAGAGATTATTTGTTGCAACTTTTCATTTTTATATCAGTATTTTGATAATTATATATACATATGTATAAGTAAATAAAATAAAATACCATAATGACACCATCACAATTTCATTCATCACTTGAAAGCCAACTGACTAAAAAATGATTGAAAGATTATAAAAGGAATCATAGATGTAAAGCTCTCTAATATAAGATAATCGCTTTATATAAGTTTCAACAAATGTTGCTCGAATAGTGTTAGAATATGTGTGCACAATAGAAAAAATAAATAATTGTAATGTATCAAAATTTTGTCCAAAACAACTATTAAGTGACATCATGATGTCACTATCGCTTTGATGTTCTACCTGGGATATCGTGATATGCATTTGATCATTTTTAATTTATTATGTCAGCAATTATATTTTTTATTTAATATAAGAAGAAAAAAATGATTAGACTTTTCATGATCTTTTAAGAGACATTTAACGAAATTGACAGAAAATAATAGAAAGAAGCGGCGAATTTTTTTTTTTTTTTTTTTTTTTTTTTTTTTTAATAACGTACTGCCCACACGCGGATTGATCGTCTGGCACAAGTGGTATAGCGGCTCGAAGTCGAGCAGTAGATACGAGTGGCTTCGATCAGACGGCGATCCGACAAAGCACACAGGCCACGCCTATCGTGCAACATATGTACCGCGGCGCGGCAACATGTCGGCCGCGAACAAACGCACAGACCATACGTGCGGATTCCACACTCGGAATATTTCAACAACTCCGGGAATTCCATTGTTAAAAATTTGGTTTCGCTTCGTAGGAGATGAGTGAAATTGTCGATCAAATCATCGAGAGAAATTGAGAGAGAGAGAGAGAAAGAAATGCGTGCACGATCGTCATTAAATCATCGATATTTATTATTAAACGCATGCAATGAACCCTTAAAAATGCAGATTGGAATTGTTTGGTATTTTTCGTGTAATGTAAAAATGTATTTTTAGTGGTTTTTTTTTCAACGCTTTATAGGTACCGGGATGAAGAGGGAGAATTTCTCCTCTCGTGTGCATTTAGTTTCAAAAAATTCCATTAGAATTTTTGTCGATATTTTTGCGTAATTTGAAAACGTGTGTTGTTGTTTCTGATTTATTGTATATCTTCATATTTCATGTACGCGTTATATATGTACATAAGGGAGGAAAGGGATACACACATAATAAACGGTTCACAAACTGCTCTTTCATCATTTTTTATCGTCATCAATAACACATGAAATAACTCAAAACGCGTGCCTCCAAATTTATATCGAGATATATCGCAATCATTGAACGCTGTGGAATAAATTTCGTAACTATATATCAAGATATCTTCTTTAATATTTTTCTCGGGGTAGTTTGACTTTACGAGAAAGATTGGCGAATTCAACAACTGTCTACTTTACGACGCCGCGAAAATGTCAGGCTTATCACTTTCGATCATTCACGCTTGATTTAAATGTAATTACCTTGAAAAGGAACAGCCCTGTTTCGAAATTCCTGTAGATTTTTACTTTGGATGTCTTTAGATTGTAGTACAACCTGCGAACAATGCAACAAGGTATGTACAATGCGTTTTTCAACGGCGTCAATTTTTATTTGGATTCATTCGATCGTATTTTCAAGCATTCCGCGTCAAATTATGCGTGAAATTACTTCGCAGCTAAAAATTCGTGTATCTCATCGCCAATCTCGCCAATCTCAATTCTCAAATTTCATTAAAAATCTGCTGGTGGAAAACGATGCGATAATCGATACTCGTTAACATAGACGATAATAAAAGATAGTCGAGCAGTTTGTTTTATACACGGAAAATGAAACAAATTGGTGGATCCTCTCGGTTCATTCTGCACGAGTAAATTATATATCGTGGTATTTTAACTTAAGCTAAAAGCTTTTCGCAGGGTCTCATTCAATTTCCAGAAATGATAATGCTTCTATTGGCGACAGTATATGATAGAAGTTGTAGCTCACACATATAGAAATGGATACACATCGGAAAATTATCTCATGCAAGATAATACACACATTTTTATTCATGCTACTTCTTTATATATTTTATATAGAATACCATTTTTTCTTGCCCAGGAAAAACAGTTATTATATGTTCGTGCATACACACACATTAATTTCTTTCAATTAGAAAAAAAGATTGTAACCATCTATCTTTTTGTCCATACAACTGTATTCGAAACAAACTGATGCAACAAATGTTTAGAGCTCGCTTGGATTCAGTCGCCTCAAATTAGCTTCATCAATCATTATCAACAAGAATAGAATTCTATCGCATTTTCTAATCATATTTCTTATTCTTGAAAATTCACAGAGAAAAAATGACAAAAAATGCACGACAATAGAGAGAGTGTCGTTTTGTTGTCAACAAAATACACAAGAGGCACACAAAATTGAGGAATCAAATCTGATGCGCACACTCACACACACACACAACACGCGTACACGTACACAGGGTGGAACACTCACCTTGCGGACTGTTTAGAAACATTTCGTGCTCAAAGTCCCGTCTGCAGATCGGCTGGCCCTGTCTGAGAATATAGTGGGCGCCCCTCGGCAACGGCTGGCCGCACATGCAACACGCGAAGCAATCCACGTGGAACACCAGGCCGGACACCGGCCGCATCACCAGATCCGAGCAGCTGATCTTCTCCATGCAACGCGCGCACTTCACCCCGAAGATCCTCTCGTAATCGGAACGGCAGTACAGCTTGAAGTCACGGATGAAGCACGAGTGCGACAGCATCGCGCCGCACGCCGTGCACGAGAGACACTCCTCGTGGTAATTCCTCTCGGCCACCCTCATCACGTACTTGTCGACGATGGTGCGGCCGCAGCCGGCGCAGATCGTCTCCAGAAGCCCGGACTCCGTCTTCACGGAAACGGACGGTTCTGCGACAACAAAGTGCGACACCAAATTATATTTTACGTATCACATACAATCATTAGGAATCTGAATAGGAATTTCATTTCTTTCTATTTTCAACTTTCATTCTCTCGAGATTTTAGGGGATTCTTCGTATACGGATTAAACTCAAAGTTTGTTTGTATTTCGAATGGATAACGATTTAAGCAAACGGTTTTTCACTCTTTTGTTAACGCATAACATTTCGTCTTTTTAGAAATGTATAGGCATCTGGGTACCAATTATATGCTTTCGATAGGTGCAAATACAAATTTCTTTAGAGCTTTAATGCTAAATCATTTTCCGTAAATATGTTAAAAGATTTTGACAAGAACTTTTTATTTTCTTCTAGGTAGAGAGAAAGGTTCCGATACATTTTTAACATTCAAAGTCTCTTTGAGGTATTTTTACCCAGGTCCTTGTTCATTTATTAAAAGAGTTAAAAGAGGACTTTTCAGAAAAGCTATATATTAGTGTACGTGTATAAGATAAGAAATACAAAATACAGCATTACTTCTCTTTGTCATCTTCAAGGACTACGAATTTTCTCACTCGAAAGATCATTAATTTCTTTCTCTTTTAAGTTTTTTTTCATTCGCTTTTATTTGCTCTCATTGTTTAGAAGATTTATTTGAAACTGCCAAGAATATATTTCTAGGGCAAAGACTGGATCCATTATTTCTTTCAAAGTCAACGATCGACTCCAAACAAGGTGAAACAAGGTTATACGTAAATACATTTTTTTAAATTTTAAAATAATAATGTTTCTAACATATTGAATGTATAATTAAATGATATTAGACATGTATATAATTAATACACGATCTGATCTTTTCGAAAGTTTTTATAGAGAAATACAATACTTTGTAAATTTATTATGATTTTTTCATTTTCTGAATAACTAATCGAATATAACAAAAAAAAACTAATTTGTATATCATAATTAACCTAATATTATTTGAAATTATTAAAGTAAAAATATTAAAGAATAATATATATTTAAATACGTATGAAAATGTCTTTCTATTTCTAAACTGTGAGATATCTCAAGATAAATAGCTCAAATATTATAATTTATTTTTTTCTAAATTGAAGATTTTACTTTGAAATCTTCCTTTTGCACATACAGGCAATTGTTACTAATAAAATGTTTCACATTGTTAACAAATTCCACCCGCTTTTACGTTTTATTTTTTTATCAATAGAAGGAGAAAAAAGAAAGCATAAATCATATACGAAAGTGTCCAAAATAATTTCTCTTTACCTGCATTGTTATTATCGGACGTAGGCCGGAAAGGAATAGGTGGAACCGTCGGCAGGGGTTGGCCTGGTTCACCTTGACGATTGAAAGAACCAGGCGCCGGAGGATAGAATTCTAACATGTTTCGTTATTGTCTGTAAAACCTTGAACGCGGGAAAGCTTTCTCCGAGCTACTACAAAGTCGCTTTCCTCATTAAAAGAGTCCTGAAAGAGGTTTTTCCGGAGCCGTTTTGGAGAACACTAAACACTTGAGAATCACACATCGATAAGAATTCTTGGAACGCGACTCAAAACGCTTCCGGCAAACAGTTTATCAATTTCAATGATCACGTCAGGTCCTTTACACGATATCTTCACCTCCGTCTTTATTCCGCCAGTCGTTGTAGATTCTTGAAACGAAATATTAAACTATTTTAACATCACTCTTCCTTTTTCATAGTAAATCCAATATTTCACGCACTGTCGAGAGACGATGACGCGTTTCCGACACTTTTCAATAAACTGGTCCAGCTCGAAGGCTATAAATTAGTCCCACGTCACTTGCCACCCTGGTGCCAATCGATCTCGTTCGACTAGACATCGAACGTTTGTCACTTTCGGCGGCATTAGCCGAGGGAGCTTCTCGCGGCTGAGTGTTCAGCTGTCACCGGTGCGCTCCTCGATACGGACAGCGCCGTATATCATCCGAATCTCATGACGAGACCTCGAGGCGCACCCTGGGATCCTCTCGGACGAGCTTCTTCTCGGGGCCGCCAAGTGTCACGGTGACTGCGCCGCATTCCGGACACAATCTCGACGCTTCCGAGAACTCCTTCTCCACACCTTCCTCATTCACCCGTCTGATATCCGCACCGCGCGAGCTCCGTCGCTTTTTTGATCGGGATCCACCGACTCGCCGACAGCGAGAATCCATCCATCCCTCCCTGCATCATCCCCTTTCTTCGTCACCCCCCGGCGTGTAACGCGGCTTCTCTCTTCCCCGCCCGTGTCTCGTCCCCGTCATTGGAGATAGATGAGGCATCGATGCGAGAGTGAAGAGGGCGGGTTCATCCCCCGCGCTCTTAGCCGCTCGCAAAACTCCTGGTGGAGGCTACCCGGATTGGCGTCGCCGGGAACCGCCCTTACCCGAGGGCCGCTAGTGGGGCAAAACGACCACCGAGGGTGCTCAACCAGCGGCGATGTACACACGAGGATCAATATCCGACCTCAACCATTGCCGGAGGATTCAGTGACGTATCTCGGGCGGACATCGATCTTAGACGCCATTGGGATCCTTGTTTTTTTTTTTCTTTCTCTTTTTTTTTTTTTTTTTTTTAACGAGCGATAGGGCAAAGTAGATTAAACCCAGTCGGAATTTGGGACGAGTTCGTAGAACGTGATGGGAAAAAATAGTACAGATCCGAATTAATTTTGTGTAGCGCGCGAGAGACAGAGCGGCTAATTCTTGATACTGTATACAAGTTGTATTATCGTCTCCTTGCGCGAGAGAAGAATATAATATGTTGATCGTTTATATTTTCATTAAAAATGTTAATTCATAAGACGGTTCACTTCTGTGAGAAAATATAAATTTTTTGTTTTCCGAGGCAATTTTAAATAACGTTTAAAATGAATTTAAATGAATAATTTGTATAATATTTCCAATGATAAAAGATTATTGATCGAACTAGATATTTTATCATAAAATTATAAAATTGAACACATGGCATAAGAGTCTCGAGATGAAATGTGAAGAGAAAATATCCAAATGTAAAGATATTGACATGCTGCGTATTGACATAAAAGTACTCGCGTAGACGTGAGTAGCACTCACCACGACGATGATCTCCAGCGTTTCCAATTTTTGCCGAGGAGGGAAGAGGATGCACTTCTCTCTCTCTCTCTCTTCCCCCCGTTCCACCCTCTCCTCGGTGGATACGGCTAATAACCGATGCCGATGCTTTCGAACCAAGCTGCCTCCGGGACATATTTTTCCAGCGAAAAGTCGGTGCGCACGGCGAGTATTTGGCCGTTTGTCAGTCCGCGTAAATATGCGACAATGCCGTCCTTTGTACGGGCCGTCTATCGGCGATGTTTGCCAAATAAAAGCCTATATAGATCTCTTTGTCTCTGTGTTCCTGCGCTGTGCGCGGCGCGGTACGAAACCTCCCCCAAATGATACGCCTAGTTGGGAACGAAACTACGGCATGACCCCCTCCGATACTGCGCGATACAAAGGGGCATCAAGTTGGCGGTAATGGTGATGCAAAGTATTCGGGGGAAACACGTGCAGCCCGAGGGGGTGGTCTCCCCCTTCCGCCCCCTTCATCCCCCTCGAGACGCTCAGTTAGTGTTCAGACTGGCTTAATCGTACGCGACAGCTACCATACGTCACGATCGATAGATCTTTCAGCTTTCGGAGAAAATCGTAAAGTGTTATTAAAAAAGATCAATCTCTGACTAAAGTGAAATTGTAAGCAAATTTTAATTTTTCACTTTTCTATTTTTTTTTTTTCAGAGTAGTAAAAGAATCGGGAAGAATTTCCTGGTGTTTTTGGTAGAGTTCTTTTTAAGACCTGAACTGGTGTTGATCATTAAAATTGGAACAGGTTAACTATTTCTGATGTTGGAGTATACTGATGAATATAAGAATACGAAATTTTGGTAAAGTAATCCAGAAGATTGTTAATTAGAACTGGGAAATAATGCCGGTTAAATAAATTTGTGAAGAATTTCCTGATGTTTTCTAGAGTTCTTTTTAAGACCCGAACTGGTGTTGATCATTAAAATTGGAACAGGTAAACTATTTCTGATGTTGGAGTATACTGATGAATATAAGAATACGAAATTTTGGTAAAGTAATCTAGAAGATTGTTAATTAGAACTGGGAAATAATGCCGGTTCAATAAATTTGTGAAGAATTTCCTGATGTTTTCTAGAGTTCTTTTTAAGACCCGAACTGGTGTTAATCATTAAAATTGGAACAGGTAAACTATTTCTGATATTGGAGTATACTGATGAATATAAGAATACGAAATTTTGGTAAAGTAATCCAGAAGATTGTTAATTAGAACTGGGAAATAATGCCGGTCCAATAAATTTGTCATATTATTAATTTAATATATTTATATATACCTTCAAGAGATTATATAGCTTAATTTATACATAATGGCTTACGGAGCGCTATCAGCACTTGGACGACAATAGAATCGCGTTAATCCAGATGCAACCCGAATCTCGATCGCGGATCCGGTCATCGATCCCGGCCTTATTCTCGGGACAATGGAAGATTAGGGATGCTCGGTGACCCTTACTATTTCACGGCACGTAAAAGCACAAAAGTCGTCGACGAAGCGTCGGATAAAATATGGTTCCTTGCAGGTGCATGCAACGCAACCCTCCCCCTCCCCTTTGCGGGGACATATTGTTTGGGATGTGACACTAACGCCATCCGTGTAATTATGTCGATACGGTTCGAGCATTATATTCCGTAGGAGGGTGGGAGAGTGGAATCCCCGCTCGCTGTAGCTAAACACCCCTTTGGTCACGCACAGAGAGGGTGCCCCCGCATCGTAATACGCGATACCGGAGATCCCGACGACACTTTGTCTCGCGAAAGAGAAGTGCAGCGTGCACTGACATCGGAATTCTTTTCAACGGGACATATGAGTGAATTCGTCGTCAACCCTCGTTGAAACTATAGTGAGTAACGCCGCGAATATACACGTGCGGCGTTCTAGAATTAATATACAATTTTTTCTCAGTACTTATTATATTGTGTGGTAATTCAAAAGTCGGCGCAGTAATTGCGCTATGTATGCAGCAGAAAATAATTTGTAATAGTATATTGTGTATCAAGTGCGGAAAGTTGACAATTGGTCACGAGTGCGACCATCCCATACGAGTGAACAATTGTCAATCCGCATGTGATACACATACTATTTTGTATTACAAGTGCAGGCAAAGTGGCTTTGTGCGCGTTACGTTTAGCGGCGTGGGAAATCGGCCGCTTTCCGCACAGAAAACACGCACACAAAGTGCCACTTTGCCTGCACGTGTAATACAAAATATATTTTATGTAAACGTCCCAGTGGTTGAACGATTAAGGTTACAAATTCATTTATTAATATTTTTATTATATAAAAACAAGAAATTTTCTTAAGGATTTGCATTTATTGTAAACTGATATCTTTATTGTTTAAAAAGCATACAAACAATTGTTTTTATTAATTTTATATAAAAATATAATAAAATATGAAGCTGTGTAAAAGTACCAGTGTTTAAACGATAAAAACGCGTTTGTCCTAATGGTTGAACGAAGCTGTCCCAATATTTGAACATAGCAAAATTATAATTATAGAAATAATTTGTCTATTCAGAAGTTTTTCTTGTTCTTTCTTTCGGCATTATCTTCGAAATCTAAAATATAACAAGAAATGAAAAATAAAACGAATGTTTACATACAATTTTTGGTTAACAAAGATTATCTGTCATAATATTTTCCTCGTTTATTATGACATAAATATATATGAAGTTTTTTTTTAAATTCTTTAAATTTTATTACTAAATTAATAGTAGATTTTTTTAAAATATTAAAATACTTACATTTTTAATGAAATTGAAACGAAAAAATTACGATTCAAACGAAAAAAAAACGATGAATAAACGGTCGATATAACTAGGCAATATTGAATTTTTGAATACCAGTAAATAAACACTAAATTTATCATATTTAAATAAATTTGTTTAATAAAATAAAAATTTTTATTTAATAGTAACTTCTTTTACGAATCAAAATAACTTTTACTTATTATAATAGCGTTTATATAAAAATACACACACTTAAGTACTAAATGACGTTTCTTAACTAGATAGTTAAAAAGCTATTGAAAGAATGAATAAAAGTAAGCCGTCATTTAAAAAATAATTTTTTTCTCATAAATCTTTTTTTCTTCAATCCGTTTTCTTTTTAATAAATATTAAGAAACGTTAATTTTAATTTAGGACGCGTTCAACCACTGGGACATTTACCTTACATATTTATTTTTTGCTTTAAAATTGCCATAAGAGTAATATCTATTATACCTATCATACACATTAATATTGTTCGAGTTTCATATTTAATCAGTTTTATTTTCAATATATTTACTGTATTTAATATAGTATATACTATAATATATTTTAATCTACTGAGGAAAGAAAAGTACGACAAGGAGTAATTTTTAATAAACCAGACAATTGTGCAAGATGCACCTTATCTTTCAGATATAACGCTAAACTTATGTTACGCAAAAATTGAATGAAAAATTTGTCTGACATTAATACGTTCCCTCCTTTTTATTATAATTTGATACAAAAATTTTGTAATCATGCCTTTTATACCGAAGACATAATATTAATATTAAGAATAAAAAATATTAACTAACAAGCTTGAAACTCTGGGGTAAAGAAGGGAATACGATTTATAATATAAACCCCTCGAGTCGCGATATAAAAAAGTTGGCCGCCAGTCTTCTCCGAGAGACTGGAAGGAATCCAAACTCGACACCCCGCGATGACAGCCCGCGGAATGAATTCTAATAACGTGTCCTCTCTATAGCCTAGCGCGCACGGATCCATCTTTTGCTAACGAGGGTGGAAGTTCGCGATTGCGTCCCAGGAATGCGTGATGACTACTTTGTTAGGAATGCAGCGTGGCGCGGCGCCCATACGAGAGCGAAACGAGAGCGGTGTATGCAGTGGCGGAGGATACTCAAAGGCATCGAGTGCAAGCTGAGCTTTCGAGATCTCCTGTCCAAGGGGAGCTGAGAAATTCTAGATTAGATAGAGAGAGAGAGAGAGAGGAGATTCGAGGAATTAGGTATTATTTCCAATGATATGTAACGGAGATACCAGATAAGATATAGTTGGCATGAAATTCATTAATCTA